GCTGAGGTTATTTATTACTAACTACATCCATATCTTTTCAGTGTTTTGCATACCTGCTACTGATCCATGCTTGAGGTCCACAAAAATGCAAATAAAATAAAACTTGCAGTCACCATCACTTGCTCCCCTGTATTGGAAAAGCAGCCTTATGTAACAGACTGGAAATGACAGGTAGGCATACCAGAGGAAAATCTAGGCTTGGTGTGAGTTGCTCATACCTTTGCTGACATCTCTGGTGATGTGCAGGCAGAGCACAAAAACAGGGTTGGGTGTTCCAGGTGGGGCAGAACACAGTGTGCTTTCATCTGGTATATACTGACTATCCAAAATCAGTGCACTTCATCTGTTCTGTGACAGAAAGAATCACACTCTAGTATTACCAGAAATAAAATGCTATGCTTTGACTATTTATATTAAGTAGAAAAATAACTAAAGCCTGTTGTTTGAACAATTTTAAATGTGTAAGTCAATTCAAAACTGCATGATCCTCATATGGATTTGGGCTATGGGGATACTTTCTGCTTGTAGGACAATAGTCCTTATTATGTTTTATTCTAAAGTTTCTGCTGTTCTTGCTCTGACAAAGCCAAATTGAAGCAAGAGTGGCAGGGCAATGTGGGTACTGGCATCAGTAAGACACATAGCCCTTAGCACAAAACAGGCTGGAAGTGGTAGTATTTCTGCTTCTACAACTGTCATAAAGCTGCAGAAAGCAGATCCTGAGAATCTCTGTGAAATAAAACCAACACACTGCAGTGCAAAGGCCTCTATTTAAAATTACCCTCTAACCTTTCTGTTCTCTAAGTCTTAGGAAAGGATTTCCTGGAAGCAGAGAGCAAGACCCAGAGCAGAAGCAGAAGAGCACTGATGGCTGGATGGCAGGGAGGGACAGGGTGGACTGCCTGGAGGTGGGAGCATCCCAGACTCGATCCAGATGAAGAAATAAATGATGACTGAAACACAACACAGGGTTTATCATGACAGGAGTGAAAGTTTATAAAGACCTAAACTGTTTATTTATATGAAAGCATAATGGTCCTTGCCATCAACGTGATGTTGAAAGGAATGACTTCCATCTAGGGGATGCAGAAAAACCCAGAAGATAAATTTCAGCACTAGTAACAGTTTAATGGAATAAGATTGAAAAAGAGGATGAATTTGGAAATTAGACCGGGATGACACTGTAATAATTTAAGTGTAGCATTTGGCAGCAGCGGTATCATTCAAGGAAAAACAAACAACACAAATCAACATCATATGTATTGATATTTTAAAATAGACTTTATTTAATGACAATAAATATAAAGAAATCTTAATATTCAGAAACGAATTGCAAACATTCTTAGAAAAAATAAAAAATACACTCTTACATTCTGAATTTATTGACATACACAGAGTCTAAAACAGTGGTGATAGTCTGTAATTTATGGTACTTGTTAAGGCAATGAAATGGTCACTGGCCCAAATTCACCCTGACTTCAACAGATCTGTACAAAGTAGGAGTTTGATCTACATATCAAGTGTAGAAAAAAGGTAAAATGGAGTCAGAGTTTAAAACAAATGCTGATTTTCCCTTCAAACAGATTTTTAATTAAAGTGACAAAGGCTAAAAAAGAAATTACAAATACTCATATGTTGGCAACTGGCCCCCAGCATTTTGTTCTTAAGCCTCCACAAAGCTTCCGGCATGCAAGCAGAACACATTTCAGCAGCTGGAGGTAGAGGCTTCAGAAGCTGCACAGCTTAAATCAAACTATTAGAATGCAATTATCAGGCACTGTGTTGGTTTCCCTCTTCTTTCTCTGATTCAGAACTGTGCTGTGAATAACACAGAGCACATGGCAAACTGAACTGAATTCCTGATGTAATGTCTTCCAAAATGAAATGTTACAGCTACATTAGCAAGGAGCATGGCATTTCAGAAGCAAATCACTGGAGCAAACTGTTAATGTTGGCTAGGTGATGCCCCTGCAGAGCTCACCACTCTCTTCAGCCCAGCTCTGGTTTCAGCAGACTAAGGGCCTGTCAGTGACCATTAAGAGCATATCTAAAAGCTGTTTTCTGGGTCAGTTTGGGCCGAAAGGAACTCAGTCCATGTGTGCCCAGAATGATCTGTGATGTCTCCCAGAAAATGGAGACAAGTGGAAGACTGGTTTCCAAGCACATTTGTCATCTGAACAAAAAAGGTTACATAGAAACACACTCAGGGCTGATTAGGATTTTATTATGGGAGGAGCCCAAGCCATAGGCACATAGGCTTTGCTGATGTAGCAGGTTTTTTAATTCTTATTTTAAAGGCAGGAATATAAACTCTTTATGACACTGAGGGCTAACTCCCCCTTTAGGAAATGATGCCAACTGATGTAGAAAGAAACAATTTGGAGAGTCCCTAGGTATCAAATAAGGTGCATAAGTTTAGCACTTCTGAAAATCAGCCTTAAGCTCTGCCACTACTCAAAATATGACAATAAGTTTGTTTGCTAGTCTCTTTAGCTCTCAAAGAGCTTCCTTAAGACCAAATAATTACCTGAAATGGTACCACTTTGTGCTGCATTTCCCCCCCTTTATCACAGGATGCCTCCTTATCTGCCCCAGCCCTCTAACACCACGTCTGGAAAGGTATTTAAGGCACACTGGTGCTGTGATCACTGATGAGGGAATAAAAATGGCATCTCTCATTTGAACACGATTGCAAATCAGAAAGGTCCAGTTGAAAGTTAAAATCAAAAGCTCCAAGCATGAATGGAGCCAACTGTCCAATCTAACTCATTTTCCACAGGGAAATTCTGAGTACTTCACTAAAATTTTTCCTTGAAACAGTTTTTTTGACAAAAGTTGGTTTTAACTGAAAGTTTGGTATATTATGCAGTGACCGGACCAGAGGGAGTGGGCAGAAACTGAAACACTTTTTCACTGTGAGGATGACTGAGCAGTGGCACAGGTGGCCCAGAGAGGTTGTGGAGTCTCCATCCCTGGAAATATTCAAAGGAGAAGACTAGCCTGGATGAACAGAGAGCTTTGGCTGGAACTCAGGTAGAAAAGGAGAGTTGATGACCTTTGAAAAAGGGGCATTCAGCTCAAGAAGAGAGATCTTTTATTGGATGGGGTAGAAAACACACAGACAAAAATGAGGAAAGGGCTGAGGTACTCAATGCATTTTTGCCTCAGTCTTTAGTAGTAAGACCAGTTGTTCTCTGAGAACCCAACCCCCTGACCTGGGAGACAGGGGCAGGGAGCAGAATGAAGCCCTCATAATCCAAGGGGAAATGGTCCGTGACCTGCTACACCACTTAGACACAAGTCCCTGGGGCTGAATGGGCACTGATCTGCTCACAGCTTGGGCAGACCTACTGCTGGCTAGATAAAAAACTGGCTGGATGGCTGGGCTCAGAGAGAGGTATTTAAAAGACATGTAGATGTGGCACTCAGGGACATGGTTTAGTTGTGGACTTGGCAGTGTCAGGTTAATGGTTAGACTCGATAATTGTAAAGGTCTTTTCCAGTCTGAATAATCTTGTGAATCTGTAGGGTTTGCTCAAAAGATGGGCTTGAGTTACATGGCACTCAGTATTTGGAGATTTTGCTGCAAAATTCATAGGTTTAATTCCTTCTGATTATTGACTGGGTAAAATGCATCTTCCAAATGCTATTTAATTTCTGTAGATGGACTTCATATTTAAAAAGCTATATGAATAATCTGTATAAAAATTCTGCATACCTATTGCATTTAAGAAGAGTACAAAATTACAAACATAAAGTAGTCACCTGGTTTAGAGAGCACAGGCACATTTTTCTTTTTTAAAAAGGTTTTGGTGATTTATATAAATTTGTTCATTAAAACTGGTAAAAAAGAAAGCAAGTTAATAATCTGCAATATCACTCCTTCAGGCACAAAATAGCTCTCCACATACGTGCCTAATCTGTAATTCCCAGTTTGCAGCTGGAGCTAAAATAAGCGGGGAGATCGGCAGCCTGATTTGGAGATGCCTGATGGCTGTAGCACATGCCTCCACACCTCTGACATCCTTCCATATTATTCAAAGCTTCACAGCATAGTTAAGGCCTATTAAATGGTTTATTCCAATCTCCAATTCCAATAGATTCATAGTCTTGTCAGAACTCACTTTATCACACAATGTTGTATCAAAATGTTCAGCTGCACATTCGTCCTATGTCAAAACCTCAGGGAAGAGCATGTTCTGGCGTGAGAGAAATGCAAAAGACAGCCCTCCACAAATATTGATTTAGTATGTGAAAAGACTTTTAACACTTATTGCTTTTACAGGTAGGAGACCTTCAAGGCTATGAGCATTTAGCTCAGAATGGGCGAGAGAACTAATGAAAGTACATTGACTGGGGAAAGATAAAATGCCTGAGTTTTCTACTCACTTGGCGTGCTGTAAGGTCAGTTTGTATGCATTGATTTCAAAGACAATCCTCCTGTTTACACAGAGATTGATGAACAGGATGGGCTTACAGTCCTGTTGCTTCTTGTGATCCAAGTCCATGATTAATTGAAATATCTTGTTATCCATTTAAGTCTCAGTATGCATAGCTAATTCAGAGTAGCAAACAACCATGCTTAGCATGCCAATTCCCATGGATTTTGACTTGTATTTTCTTTCTTTTTCCTTCATGTTTTTGCTTTTCCTCTTCATTTTATAGCTGAGGTCTGCATTAGCAAGCAATCAAAATTCCTTCATTGGATGCAATGATATTCTTATAGCAAATCATTCTTGTTCTTAAGGCTTATTCAAGTTAGTCTAGTTATCTAATAGCTGATGCTTAAGAAAAGTAGAAAGCAGCTTAGGTGTTTGGGAATTAATCTGCATCTTCTTAAAAGGATAAATAATTTTTGTCTTTTTTTTTTTTATTTAATATGTCCTAAAAAGCTGTTAAAAAAAAATGGTAACTCTTATCTGCGTAGCAGTGGTTGCATTTGTCCAAGGAAAACTGGTAAATGAGCATGTAAGAGTTGCAAGAAACAATGTTTAGTAAATCCAAAGTGCTTGATAGCTATTGGCAATATCTGGACAGATATCAGTCGTCCAAGTACTGTTATTCCATATGAAAAAGTACTTATTCATCTTTAGGTCGGAAAGTGCTGTCTGCTCCTTTGATGATTTTCTCAGCTATTTTGCCCATCGTTTTTTTCACACCTTTGAGATCATTCTCATGTAATAGTTTCTGTGTGAGGTACTTCTCTCGTTTGACTTTGCTCTTGGTCTTCTCTGATACATCCGGAATTACATATGAAATAATAAACTTCACAAAGTATATGACATGCTGGGAAAGGTGAAAATGAAAAAATGTCAGTCAGGATGAACAGGACATTATTTTCATTATGAATGAAATGTCACTTTTTGTCTTAAGACGCTGAGCTGATTCAGCGTCAGTATCTAACACTATAGAAAAATATTTTAAAAAGACATGTCTAATAAGATAGAATAATTATCTGACAAAGAAGAATTTCTGATTTTCCAATCCTGATTTGAGCAAGGACTTCTCAGCCTGCTTTGGGGAAACCCTGGTACACAGTGCTTCCATCCTGCATGGAAACACTTGTTACAGTTTCCTATAAGATTTTTTATGTTTGTTCAAATGACTCTGGGGCAATTACTTTTCTCTGATACAGGAATTCTGCTCTAACCACTTTCTGATGACTTCAGTAGTCCCTGGATCAGGACCTAAACACATTTAATAATTAAATAACACCCAATATTTCTCTCTCTTCATCTTGGACTAATTCCCATCTTTTGTAAGCTCAGGCTGTAGCTGCAGAGGAAGGAGCAATTGTTTTTTGATGATCATCTAGAGACTCACTTCTTACAGGGACTGTCTTTATAGACTTCACTCTGCCGTGTACTGTACCTGTATTACGTACATTATTACGAACAGGTATCATGCATGTGCATTCAGGACGCTGTGTGCAAACCTCCTCTAAGTACATGTATCCCATTTCTGCTACTAAAAATTATTCTACAGTTCTTGAGAAAAGAAGCTGCAGATATGCGGGGCAATCCTCAGCTGATGTCATGATTTCAGGGAATTATTTTTCCAATGTTGCTATTCTTTATTGACATCTACCGAGTTCTTGCTCGCGCTAGCACAGACCACCAGCTCTGATAGCTGTGCCTGGACCAAATGCCTCTGAAGGATTTTCCTCAGGGAGGGAAGAGACTAAATAGGCAATGCTCAAACCCCCATACACCGACCTCCATGACAATGATGAAAGCCAGCTTGGCTGCAATGACATGCCAGTAGTATATGTTGTGCTCATACTGGTGCTGGTGACCGGGAGGGTAGCGGAGATCCCGGTATCTGAAAGCAAGGCAGGAAAGTCAGGAGCTGGTCTCTGGCACCTCTGCAGTACGGCACTGCGGCCAGAGGATGGAGCACGACATGGCCCTGCTTAATGTGTCCTGGAACAGTTAGCTCAGGCAACTACTCTGATGGGTAAAATCATATCTGCCAGATAAGCCATATTTGGCTGAAACGTTGTATTTTTGCCATGCTATTAAGAATTACTGATAAAAATTTTAAGGTGCTTTTTTGGGAAAACTATCAGCTAGGAGAAAGCCAAATTAAAAAAAAGTATTTTCTGAATAGCACAAACTTATGGGTGAATACTTCCACTCCATCCTGCCATTCAAAATAAGCTGAGTTTTCCTGTGTTTCCATGTTTCCTAAGGGATATTGTTAAATGAATAAGATGGCTTAGATATAAACCCCATTATTTTTGTAATTGGAAAATGACAAATACATATTAGACACTTGCCTGCATGTTGTTTGGTTCCCAAACCAAGGGGAGGAAGGCTTGCTTGCATTCTTGAAGTCTGATATATTGAAGACAGAAAGTGTGCTGTTTATATACCCCTCCATAGTGTGAGTGCTGTGACTCCCGTAAGGAGGGACCGAAAAGGACCAGTAATAAACCAGACGAGGAATCATGTCAGATGTAAAAGCAATGATCAAAGCCTGCATTTCAGACAGAGAAAACAAAAAAGCAGAGCAGCATTAAAGAAATAAGCCTCAATATGCATTCCTTTGCCATATACTTAGCAACTCAAAAGTTAGCACATGAGCTAAAAATAGAAAATAGGTTCTTTTCCCACCAGTGGTTGTTCATTCTGTAAATAAGCATGTAGTCTCTCATGGGCACAAAACAATCCCTTTCTGGCATGTGCACTCTGTACAGTTTCTAAATTATGCTAGCTCTGCTGAATGCCTTAAAACAGTTAAACTATAAAACACTTTTTTCACGTGCACGCAGAGAAGATCAGCAAATGTGCTTCTTATGAGTACTAATGAGATGCTTGAAGAAATTCTGCCTGATGAAACTAATGAAAACAACAGAAGAGTTCTTCAGTAATAGAAAATTAAATGTCAGCAGGTTCTCCGATGTCTGAGTAAAGGAATTAAATAAATTAGATATATAACGGATCCATCTCTGATCCTAGAAACATCCCACCCTTTCTGAGGTGCTAGCCAGCCCAAATTCGTCTTGGTACTTGTTGCCTCCTACTATAGCATGTGGAAACTGCTCTTGATGCCAAGATAATTTTTTTTAGTAGCAGCTGCATAGTGCTGTTTTATATGACGTGACCATTTGTTTTTATCTTGCTCCCAAGAGAGTCCCTGTCCTACTCAGTCTCCTAGTCACAAACTGGGTAGGAAATATGATCTGTGGGTTTGTTGTGGGAAGTCTTTTCTAAACTCATGAACTTCCCAAAACATCCTATTCTGGAGGACAGGTTAACTATCTTTAATCCAATTTCCTCCCCTGCTACTGCAAGTTCAAAAGGTTTCCCTGTGAGGAAGACTTTCCACTGGCAAGATCTGCAGCTGAGTATTTAGCGAGAGGCTGCCCAGCCAACTCATGGCAACAGGCGCCTCTGGTGGAGGCACCTGAGGAGGAGTGACCAGCTGCACTCCAGGACTCAGAGAGAAGTGTTTTGTCCCATCCCAGGATAAAAATACCCACTTGACAACATGGATGGAAAGAACCAGGGCAGAGACATGGAAGAGAAAGGTGTGAAGTAGGGATCTGATGAGATCAGGTGAAAGGAGGTTTAGGCACAGATGTAGAAAAGAGGCAGAAAAAACTACAGGAAAATCATAGGACAGAGTCAGGGGCAAAGTCAAGCAATAATGGGTAACAGACGAGCACAAAAACTGGTTAATATCTGTTTTTACTCCCCATCATGCCAGTCTGTAATTCATGAGATCTGTATTTCCTTATTTTGATGACATGGGACAGAAAGTTTCCATTTTTGTGCAGCATTTCTGGCCAGACAGTCCCAGCCTGAGGAGGTATTTGTAACAGCTGCAGCAAAAAGAAAGGGGAGAGAGGAGAAAGGGTGAAAAAAAATGTGGATAACTCTTCTACAGTTCCTTGAACAATGCTTTGGTGGCAGTGCTAGCTAAAACAAACTCCTCCATCTGCCTCTAGCAGTTGACTTGGGCTCTGTGCTGGCTTGGGCAGTCCTGGCCCCATCCAGCAGATAGATGAAAATGCTGATCTGACTGGGAATCACCACTGGATCCTTTCCCTCGTCTGATTCATCATGTGAATCAGCACAGTGCAAGAGACAGGAGCAAGGAGGAAAGACAGCAAAGGGAAAGAGCAGGGAGTTGAAAAGGAGGCAAGACCCACCCTACCTCAAGTAGCACCACTGCCAAATGATGAATGATATCCTAGCGTCTTACCTTTTGCTAAGTTGGCTTACTTTGAAGAACCTGAGAAGCTAAACTGTAGTTAAGATAAAAGTTGCAGAAACAATCCTTCTGAGACTGTGGTCCAAGATCTGTATTTAGTTCTCCAGAATATTGTTATGAGTTCAGCTGAGAGAAAGTTTGGCTGATGAGAAACAAAAGGAAGGCATCCTAGGTCTAAAACTCATTGAAAATTTTCAAGGATAAGGTGTTTTTCTTGTACTGCACTTTGGCTTAAATCAAATGTAGTTGGCATGCACTTTTAAAAACTGTTTTTAAGCATTATATGCCAGTGTGAAATGAAGTGAAAATTATGTGTTGTTTATATTTACATGCTGAGTAGGTGTTTTTGACTGACAAGAAGTATATATATTACTGTGTCTTGCAGCTGCAGGGGGACGACCTCACAGCTAAATTACTCTGTTTTTAACTCTGAAGCAGAATTAAAAGTAGAGTAGAAGTAGAGTATTTGTAGTCTGAATTACAAGTATAGAAAATTTTTGTTAAATAAACTTTCTTTCTGTTCATTAGCTCACCTAGTCAGACCATAAATTAATTAATATCAACTTAACAGTAAAGCAAAAATATTCCTTCTCCCTTTGGACCAAATGAGTTTGATGCTGCTTCTTTGTACCAGAAAGATGCTGGAATATGGTATTTACAGAGCTTAATATTTGATCTTACTGAATATTTTTTGCAAGGCCCCAGGTCTCTCATCATCCTAAATCTGAGCCTTGTCTCACTCTCCTCCCTCTCTCAGAATGATCTCCAGATGTGCTCCAGAGAGCTTCAAGGACAGAAATACGAGAACTAATCCTACGGCATCCTCTCAAAGGAAAAACTTTTTTTCCTCTTGAATTATGGGCTGCATTTCAGAGTATTGCACTGGAGAACTACAAACAAACAGCACATTCTTTGCTTCCCAAGCCTTACTGCACACAGTTTTCCATTTATACCATAACTAATTAAAATCAGTCTTCAAATCAACAACAGATGCAATAGGAAGTCCAGCGCCTCATGGCAACTCTCAAAACTGGTGGCTTTGTGCAAAAATTGATTGCAAGTACTAGCAGCTGCTACAAAGGTAACATGCCTGAAGGAGAAGATGCACCAAGGGGAAGATGATACACTCCCCAAGTATAATCAGCTGTAACAAGTCATGTAGAAGAGAAGAAACAATTTCTGTGTACTAAGATAAAATCAAGGCAGGGTTGTTAAACACTGATGACTTGGATCGGTTGCTGGATGTCAAACAAGGAAAGAAACACACTAAAAGGAGAAAAACAGCTTCTAGCATTTGCTCAAGCACATGGCTTTATGGCCCTCACTTCATTAGCAATAAATACCAATCTCTGTGAGGTCCTCACAACACGTGCAGCGGGGCTGTCTGAACGTGACAGTCTCTGGGGCTGAGCCCCTCGCACGCGACAGCCCCACAGGGTGAGCGGCTGATGCCCTGCTTGCACGCTGACATCATCTGCAGAAAGCAGGGCACAAACAACGCCTGACAGAAACCTACACGTGGCTCAGTCAACCCGAGGTCACCACAGCCACTGTAACTCTGCCCTGAATACCATGAGAACTGTGATAAGGTACAATATTTTAAAGAAATCTTGAGATACACCTTCAACTTCTAGTTTCATATTGGATTACAAGATCCAGCTGGATTGATGAGGAAATACAGTTATCCAATAGCATAAGATATTTGGATTTCTCTGAAAACAGAACAGCCACTTTGTTGAGAAAGGCTATTCCCTATGGATAGTCTGAGGTGTTATTGCGCCTGCAGAAGAAACCAGTGGCCATTATTCCTTTAAAAAAGGCCAGCAGCAAGAATTTTCTGTAAGTTAATACATACTAGTTCCTGTTTAAGAATAAGCAATCAGATAATCCACAGTGCTAAATCACAATGGCTTATTTTTCTTCCCAAAATGCAGGCTACAAATAAAATATTGGTGAATTAAAAAAAAAAAAAAAGGTCTGAATTTCATTGTTAGAAGTATATTAATCAGAGTTTTTTCTTAAATATTTTGAATAAACTCTCTTAAAATTCAGTTTATTATGTACTTAAAACAATTAAGTACAACTGAAGAACAGATTAGAGTCTGAATTCTCAGAAAATTAATTCTGATATGCAATTTTGAACACACGTGGTATTTTTAAGCACACAAGAAAGAAGCTGACTTTCTCTTTTCAGAAGACTTGCCGTAAGGATCATTTCAGTTGCATTGCCACACACACAGCATTCCCACATTTGGATGTAGCACCTGCAGAGAAGGCGTTTTCTCTTTTGCTGCTCTTAGCGCCGTACTTACATTGGTGACCACGGCCAGAATGGCTATGCCCTGCAGGATGGGCTGCCAGGCGCCAATGTCCTGTGCCTTCTGTGGAACCATGCGCCTGAACTGCGTTGTCAGTTTCCACGCATCCAGCCGGATTTCCAGCATGTTGTTCATAAGGGCCAGAAGAGGAGCCAGGGGGAATGATGCCACAAAGAGCGTCACAAAGCCAAACTGTATAACTGTGAAAGGGAGAGGTTACATGTTACATCTCCAGGAAATGAGGCTTTCATTTCCTGGAGACGAGCAAGTGTAGGCGTGTATAGTTCATATACTCAGGTATTCAGGTGGAAGAAACAAGGAAGAGTAGCTGGGTTCCTAGTGAATCTTTTGGATGAGAAAATAGTAGCACAACAGTACTGGAAAAACCTGCTAGGTGAAGGGGACAGGAAAATATTATAAATCACAAGACAGCATAAGGAACTATTCTGGGTATTCAGATATCCATTTCTTTCTGACATCTTTACCATGAAGACCTGGAAATCTCATGACTATCTGTCTCCGTACTGAACTGGAAGGCCCAACAATCATCTTGCTTCTGTCTGGGTACTGCCTTAATCACACTGGCAATGTTGTCACAGAATGGATGGTGGCAACAAACCAGCCAAGGCCTGCCAGCTCCCAGGTTACCAGCAACGAGTCCTGGTGACTGCAGACCTCCAGCAGAGCAGTCTGACACAGGGCTCTGCTGTGCAGCACCAGAACACGACAGGGGTCTGCCTTCTGAATGCATTTCTCACAGGATTAGGCAAGGAAGCAGCAGTACTCCTCCTTGTACAATCACATGCTGCTTCCTAGTTATAAAATGGATTAAGGTTTAGCTGCTTAATAAAAACTTGTAAAACCATCTGCAATGGCTCAATCAAAACTTGTCTCAGAAAACATTAATGTCTCCTCTGTCCACCATATTAAACATTGCTTGTGTGAAGATTTTCTTTAGAACATGTTTGTATCCAGCAGAAGTGGTGAATCCAGACTAAACTGTTCCTTACCCATTTCAAGATACTCATAAAATAGTCCAAGTTTTCCAATGGGTTGGAGGTGGTAGTCATGTTCCCAACGTGGAACAACTTTTTCTGATTTAGCAGCTGCAGAATATCGTCCAATTAGATTCTTGATCAAACTATCATATGGGGAGAAAGAGAACATTAACATTGGTAAAAGAACCTAAAAAAGTTGAGTAAATGCAAAGAAAAGTTGGCATTTCTGCTTTTACATTTCTGCTGTAGGTTTAAACAATGGATTTATTTCTGAATTATTCAAAAATTTCTTCCTAAGAAAAGCAACTATTGTTGCCTTATCCTTAAAGTGGGTTTTTACAAGCCATAAATAAGAGTGTAAATATACCAGAACCACAGTGATTTGTATCTCGTAAATGAGTTAAAATAGTAACTTATATATATGACTTTTAAAATCCCAATGTATAACAACAAATCATTCCAATTAATATTAAGCAAGTCTTCAGTTTAATATTGTCATAGCTTCTACTGCCTCAGTTTTGAATATTCAACCTGAAACACATCGAGTTTGACTTGCAGAGGAAGGAAGAATTTCTGATTAGAATTAAAATCAGTTAAAACAACAGAGACAGGAGCCCAGACCAAAAAAGACTCCAAGGACAAGTCTTATTCTTTCAGAATACAATATGCACTTACCAAACTCAGTGATCAAATGCCTGAAGGCATCAAGCAAAACAGTATTTTTCAACCATGAAAGAGCAGATTACTTAATAGTTTGAACTTACGGAACAAGCACTTCTTGGATGTTGTTCCAGATAGCTTTCCCTCCCACTATGATGGCAAGCTGGGTTGTGAGCTCGAGGAGACATCCACCTGGATCACACTGAAGTTTGGGTGAGACAGGAAAATTTTTTTGCGGTTGGGTAACTTTTCAGGCATGAATGAAGCATTTAAAATTAATTTCAAATAATTAAAATAATTAATATTATTAATATTCCTGATTTATTATAAAAACATTACTGAAAGCATTCAAAGAAGACTTCCTAGGCACACCTTTCCAGTAAGGTATGCAAAAGCCAAATCCAGGCCACATATGGTAGGTTGCCAGAATACAGTGAAAGAGTGAAATACCAGGTGAAGTCATGCAGCTCTGTGCTATCACCAGGTCAGGGTCACACAGCAAAATAGGAATGCTTGTACTGATATTCTCTCTTTTCTGTGTGCCCAGTCACAGATTGCAGGACCATGGTAAAATACACTTTTCTGGGTACATGTGATACATTTCTAAGCTCAACTGGTCTTGTGCCATATTCTTTTATGCTAGGGGTTAGTAAGGAGGTAATTACCTTGGGAGGCAGTCACTTTTAAACCCTAGGGTTAAATATGTACAACTATGTTTTACTTTATACACTCCAAATTGCAGCACAATACCTGGACTAATCATACATTCTACATTCTTACCTCTTCATTGCGATACTTTCCTAGCCAATAAACTGGACTTCCAGGGTGACCTACGAATTTACCCTTAAAGAAAGCTATGTAGAAGCATGAAGAATAGTAGTTGACAAACTGGAACAAGAACATCTTTGTGGTCAGACTGTTTTCATAGTCAGTCTGTGTCCTTGGAAGTTCTGCAAAGAAAGAAAAGTAAATAAATTTTAAAAAACCGAACCCAACCTACAAGTAACCTACAAGCCGTTCTAGAGACTCAGCTGCAAAATATCTGTATGCCTCATATTCCTTTATATGACTGAGAGCATTATCATTTAGATTGTACCTAATCCCCGTGTATACTATAATCATTATATAATTCTAAAACTGTATGGGTTGCAAAAAGAAAAGAACTTGTTCCCTGACAATAAAGAAAGAGAAGACACAAGAATTCTAATAATTCAGGGGAAGAAAAGGCACCCAAATCCAGAAGACTCGACAAAGATGCAAATGTAGCACTTTGAACTGATGAACCAGTATTAAGTGAAAACACCACATTACTTCATGCATCTAAAGTAAAACAGCTACTTTAATGTTGATGGTCTGGATATAGAGAATAATATTATTTGGATATAGAGAATAATATTGTTTGTGACTGTTTATCTGTTTAAACATCAGAGTGGTAAGTAGCTTTGGAATGGTGATCTTAGTTCACTTATTTACAAGAAAATAGCTATTTTTCCCATAAACAAAAGCTAATATAATTGAATGTGTTATGCCTTACTGATCTGTTTTCATAAAGCTTGGTTGTTGTAGTAATTTTCTTTGCTTTGTATGTTTCACAAGCACAAAACTGTAAACAATCGATCTTTCAAGCTGCCTATATAAGGCTTTTTCAGGCAAAGAGCTGAATATCATATTTCTCTGATATTGAGCAAACCTATATTGGAAAATTTCTAGGTGGTATTGTGTGATTTTGTGGGAAAATTCTGAAAGATGTGGTACAGGTGTTACACCTACTATACATATAAATACTATAAAAGCTAATTTTTCTAGCTATTTTACCCCACATTTCCGTCTGAGGCAGAGCAGCGGCATACCAAAGTCAGTGATCAGGATTGCCACTTTTTCATAGATGATGTTGAGAATCATAATGACAACAAAGCTGATGAGGGAAGCGGTTATTGATGTGGCTGTCTGTGGAGTCAGGTACTTGCGGATCGCCTCCGTTCCACTGATGTGCTGTGACAGCTTCGCAGAGAACACCAGGAAAACAGAGAGCCTGTAGACAATGATTCCAACAACTGAAGCAATAATCAAAAGGATCTGCCAAGGGAATGCAGGAAAGATGTTCATGTTCAACCACTGGCGTTAGGAAAAAGTGAGTTCAAGGCACTTTTTATGATAGACAAAAGGAAAGCAATTTTGTGCCTGTCATTCCATTGCAAGAGGATGATCAAATAAGATACAAAGCAATAAATAGAGAATCCATAAAAGAAGCATTTTTTTCATGTAGCATAGTAAATCTGCAGGAAAGAAAAGAGATGGCCTGTTTTATGACTAATAACAAGGGTTTTTACTGATGTAAGCCAATATAACAAGAAATGTAATCAAATCTTGCACCTCGAGGCATGTGATGGGAGAAAACTCTTCATATTGGACAATTGGCAGGATGGCAAATGTACAATGCGAGTATGCATTGATTATGGAGGGGGCTGCACCTTCTCTTCCACATGATACTATTACGGACTACAGATCCCTCCAAGGAATAGAAAAAAATTAAGCCAAGTCACGTAGTCTGTAGGAGTTGCAATAATGATCCAGGCACCCCATCTTGCTTGCCGTCTCTTTCTGTGTCTCTTCCTGCTTCTATTTTTCGCTAGTTCTCTAGCTATTGTTCAGTTTAAGGTTCACAGACTGACTATATTTTTTCACTATCTCAGCAAACTGCCATGAACTACCTTTCCTGACCCTGCACACAGTAACTGTGCAGTAACACAAGTGACAAACCAAGAACACATCTCTTCCCTCCAACATGAAATCTGACATATTTAAATCCAACTGCACATCAGTATTCTTTCCTTTGTGTTTCAAATGTGCCAATGCTGAGGCTCTCCTGGGCTGCCAGACACCACTCTATCTCCTATCTGCATCCTATCACTGAGAATGGGGTCTTTTCCAGCTGCTATTTTGCTAAAGATGAGGAGCATGCTAAAACACAGAACTATTCAAGGCAATCTCCTCTGGGCCTGCTCATTGTGTTATATATTGTGTCATGGTTGACTGGACTGCTTTCAACGTTTAGTTTTAATTAAAGTAGCAGCTCTGGAAGATTAAAGAGTGCCCAGCTCTGCTCTGTTAAGTGAAACACAAAACCTGAAAGAGGTCATGGACTGTGAGATACAATGTGGAAGAACACAGCTGGAACAAATCAGACAGAAACTAGCAAGGAGGAGAGCATATAAACCAAAGTCTTCCCCTTACTGCCCCCCTAAAAGAAAAGGCACTTTTCTTAAAATAATGAGGGAAAAATCAATGGACCACCTTCACAAGCATAATTCACAAGCTACAGCTGCAGGATATTTTGATACTGTATGCTAATGATTATTGGGTGACTACAGCTACCTTCTCCATACATTGGGCCCATACCTTATGAGCTTGATTTATGCATGAGATGGAAATCCAGCATAAACCGGTTCCATTCTCATTTTTTGTTCAGTTCAGGAGGATCATTTTTTTAGACAGTTACTAGAAAAGTGAATTTATGAGGGGAAAGACTAGGAAAAGAACTTTACCCAGAAGAAGATGGCACTTGTACAGAAAGTCATCCGCACGCACTTCCCACATGCAGTGTATGGCACATGTTCTTCTTGCTGTAAAAGATTAGGAAACAGATCAAGGAAGCACACAATGTTTTTGTGTGTGTGTGTGGTCCAATTGGAATCTTTATTATACTGAGGGCAGAGAAAAAGGAAAAAAGTACCTTGTTTTGTTTCCTGGAAACTTAACATTTATTCATGATTTCAGAAGTCTTGCCTTATTACAGCTGTCTTTTTTTCTGCCCCTTCTATGACAAAAATGACTTCCATAGATGTAGAGGGTCTCAGCTCTTATTGACTTCAGCCATTACAAGGTGCACGTTCCTTTTGAATGGACCCATCCTTCTTGGCTGATCATCGTATCCAAGGTCATTATCTCTCAAACTTCAATGGCTAAACTTAGCAGGCACTAAAATTTTGGTCCTTGATCTCTGTGTTTCTCAATGTATTCCATACAAACAATGGGATGGCTTCCCCAAGGAAAATGACTACCTCAATGTGGTACTGTGAAAATTCACTGAGTCTTTAAAGAATCACTGAGGATCAAAATAAAATATTTTAGCATATTCTTCACTCTTTGAACTGTCTGAAAGGAACTTTCTAGCTATGACTTTATATATTCAAGGTGGCATAGGTTTATAAGCTTTTAAATTGGATGAGTTTTTTGATTGCATAAGATAGAAAAAAGATATATAGGATAATTTCAACTATGGCAGTTAATTTTGAAACTTTTCAAGTGCCCTCTAATAAACATTACTATAACATGGATAGAATGTGAAAGCAGTGCAAACGATTAGAAAAAAGACAGAGAATAATAATATTGACAGAAAATAATAAAAAGTGAAACTGAACTTGAGTAAACTCCCAAAGCTAAAGCTACTGAAATGTATAATAAAGAGAAATCTAAACTAAGATCCTCATAAATATGAATCCTCTGTCATTGAAATGTGGTTTATCCTTGTCTCTGAAAGTTTGTTGTTATTAATCATAATTTTATCCATATGCACTTAGCAACAATAGCTATTCATACGTGTTTCAAACAGAAACATCTTTGATTAAAAAACATTCCTGGCATAATATATAATAATGCAACATTTCCCTCTATTCACCTTTTTTTCCTGATGCATTCCTACGTAAAGATAGCAAATGCTCTGTGATCTTGGCCTCTGGCAGTAACAATTAATAATTTCTTGGGGATTTAATAAAGTAGACTTAGTCTTCTAAGCTGGGATGATGCCTACTTCTATTTATTTAAGACAGAGGAATCTCAGCAGCACAATGTCCTCAAACAGGCAACTACTTTAAAGTGCTTTCAGTTAGATTTCAATTCCCTCTCCCTGCATCTGTACTTCATCATGTCACTGTTTTCAGGCCAGCTTATCAATTTGAGGCACTGCTGATTTATAAAGCTCCAGTCCTGATTCACCATTTTCATAGTGTCTGCTCACAGCTTGCCTACAGCAGTAACCATCACCAGCTGTCAAAATATTCCTTACCTGTGTGATTTCATTCATCACTACGTGAGTGCAGCGAGCTTCGTATTCAGGGCGAACTTGCTCTTCTTGCTCCAAGTACTCAACTGTGTCCCATTCGTACTCCAGTTCAGCCTGCCGTCGCTTCCAAAACTCCAAAAAAAAGGTAACTATCCAAATGATAGACAAAATCAGCAATACCACGTGAGGACTGGATACTCTTCCCCGCTTTGGGCTATAACTCATGGCTCAGTATTCCATGCAGATTTTCACAGACATGGAATAAAACCTTTACTGGCTAATGCAACGGTGAAAACTGGATCTACTCCTATATGCAATTATGGTTTTGCATGTATATGTACTTTAATATGAGAAACCTGAGGTAAGTGGTGGTGTAACTACATGCTAAAGAATGTATTTATTTATCTATGTATTTTCCTTCTGACTAAGGCCAAAATATGAGCACTTTGGATTTTATATTACAGGCTGCTTTGAAAAAGTTTAACATGGGTTACTTAAGAAACTAAATTGTTTTGTTATGTGAAGACAAAGTTCTGGAAAGTGCAGACTTCTAGAAAAATTAAACTCAGTATGCGAAAAATTGTCACAGGGAAGAGCTCATGCTCATTCACTCTGCAATTTTTGTGTAGACAAGTTATCAATTTGCAGACTACAAAACCAATGTTTGTTCAGGTAAATCTGCTTAAATACAGCTGTCTTTCCTCCTCTGCCAGCATAAACCTAAAGAGACTGCAGCTCTTTCATATGGCATGGAGCTTAGAAACTCCCTGGGCTGGGCCAGCTGTTTCCCTGGACTGTGCTCCTGCAGCTGGAAGTGCTGAGGGATCAGGTACACAGATGCCTAGGCAGTAATGGTTAGACATGATTCCAGCCCAGCTCATTACCTTGTAAAGATATTACGCAGGCAGATCTGGCAGCAGGGGCAATGACAAACCCAGATGTGAAGGCTGGGAGGAGTTCAGGATGCTGGGTGTCAGTACCATGCTCCCTGGCACACACCTGGGTGCTTCTTTCTTGAAGAGGGTGCAGTCTTAGATTAAAATAGTGGTGTGGCTCTGCAGCACTGTTTCCAGGAGGAGTATCCAATCATTGGATACTCCTCCAATGCTGCACTTTCATTGCTTCATTGTCTGGGAGTAATTAACCCTACAATTGGGTTGTTTTTTTTTTTTACTAGTTTGGTCCCTCATTCTGAATGATGAAACCTCAGAGGCATGCAGTTACATGTCCAAACATTAAAGGTTACATCTAAAATCAGGTGTGGTTGAAAAATCCCAAACTGAAACATTTAAAACCAGGAAACACCATGGGCTGTACTGTGAGATGACCTTGGCATCTGCAAATGCAAAACTCCAGAAAACCCTGCTCCCCTGATTACCCAGGGCCTGCTTTCACAAGGACTTCTCCACCCCTTCATGCTTAGAAGCAGCAAGGACACTGCAAGCAGCAGACCAGAGGCTCTCATCTGTTTTCTCCTGCTGAACAAGGACATTAGTCTTCCATAAACTTTTAATTGCTGCCCAGCCCAAATCACAGGAATCTACAGGCTATACTGATTTGTTCCAGCTGCAAATTCAGCTGCTGCTGAAGAGCCCAGAAGTGCAGAGACTCCTTCTGTGATGACAGCCTCATGTGCTAACTGTGACAGAAGGGCACATTACAGAGGGACAACTCTCCCAGCCCCCTATCAGTCGTGTTGTGTCCTTTAGAGCAGGAAAGGAGCTCCTGCTGGATTTGCCATTTTCCTTTTATTTTGAAGCAAGATTATTTCAACAGTGGAAACGCATGACATTTCAGAATCAGGAGACCAAAGCCGTCATTTCATGTCATATTGAACGGCGTCCCCTTTTGTGTGTCCCCCAACACTGCCCTTCAGGCTGGCCCAGGTATTCTGCCTCTGAAGCTGTGTCACAAGGTCTGAGAAGAAGTGCCTCCACCAGAGAACATTTCTTGGCTTAACTGACCTAGCTCAGGGAGGGGATCCAGGGACGGCAGCAAGTGAAGTGGAAGCTGCCTCTTGTTCACAGCCTTTGCCAATCTAGTCTTACCAGCAAAGGGAGAATTGGCAGAGCATTAATGTATAAAAGGGCTAACTCCTGAGGCCAAAGTCCCTGGTGCTTTATAGTGCCTTAAGATTTTTGAGGGAATGCACACAAGAAAATATGCTCTTATTAGAAGTGTATTGATGATAATGATGCAATAATATATCTAAGAGGCTAGTATTAATTTTAATTGTTTTGGACAAGGAGGTCTAAAAAAGTAATAGAGCAACATGAAAATTACAGCTGGAATTACACCAGGACCATGGGTCATTTGGATTCAGTACAATTTTGGTTGAATTTCTGTAATATAATTCACCTCTTTATATAGTGGACTTGCAACAAGAATACTAATAGACCTTGCAGCCATCTCTATAACCATGAAGCTTAACTTGGTAATTATTGTTCCCAGAATCATTCTTCAAAACAGGAAGCACAATTTTAATTAAAAAAAAAAATTGCCAATAAATTAACACTTGACGTGATGGGAGAAGATTACATTAGTATGTTTTACAAAGAAAGCAAATTTTCCATTCTTGTCAGCCTACATATGAATTCAAAATATTACATGAGATACATTCTCTATAGCACCTGGTATGCAGACCTAATACGGAACTTACTTCCATAATTACTGGATAAAACACCGCAATAAAAGCCAACTAACAAACCTGCTAATAGGAATAAAATAAATTGTTTCTAGGAAAATAAACCTTGCCTAATCCCTTGAATATAGCACCAAGTGTTTTCACCTGTGGGAAACATTCTGGTTTCATATACATTTTCTCTGCTAAAAGATAAACCTAGTGCTTGTAACCTACTACACTTTCTAAAATCAGCTTCTTAAATAAAGACAGAGGGAACAAATTCCTGGGAAATATAACAAATTACTATTTTTCAATTGCATTGTGCAGTTACACAGCTGTTAGTAGCACAAGCATCTCTATAAGTCTTTGGGGAAAACCCCCAGCTCCTCTGACAGACATAAGCATGTGGCTGGCTCCTTCTGGATGAACATGTAGCAGTCTTAACCACCTCCCTCAGAATTTTCTTCAAGTCGTCAAAACAGAACAGATACTGAAGACTAATGTTTAAGACTACAATTTTTTGTTTGCTTATGATGAGTCCCTGTGAATGTGCTTGTTTCCAGTTAATTCCTAAGTGCTAACAAATGAAGTCTGCAAATTTATCCTTGGCTGATGCTGGAGGCTTGGCCAAAATTAGATAACAAACCACAGTTGTTGAAACTGACTTACCCCATATTCCCATGAATACTGCAAACACCAGTGTTCCATAGCTATCAAATATACAAAGTTTCTGGAAAAGTGGAAAAGAAAAAAAAGTCTTAAAATATAACCAACCATTTTTATTCTTCTACACCAACCCAGAACAGAACCTAGAAGCTACTTACTGAAAATGCTGATTTTCAGTTTTTATGTAGTTTCATAAACAACCCTTGTGGATAGAGTTCCCTCAATTTCTGTCCATGCACACTACTCTCCAGTAAATCAAGGAAATTAAATCCAAATTTCAGAATTAAAAATAAAAGGCATATATGCATTATGAGGGATAGTAAAATGGTGTCCTATCAAACGTCCCTCCATCTGTTTCTTACTAAGAGGAAAAACAGTGCTTCTGGTCTGGGAACTCAGGAGAGAATTACGGATTTTTAGTACAGCCACTAAGACCATGGGCACATCTGGTTCTCATAAGCAGGATAACAAATAATTTAGTTAGTAAAACCACACTCTGATGGAATACCTCTGTGGTCACTATCTCCCTTTTTTTTTTTTTTTCCATTATAGACTTTTCCCTGCAATCTTATTTCTTTTACCATGTAAGTGTATTGATGCAACACATTAAAGTCGGGCAAAATATTTTTGATGAATAGCTGAAAAATTGCAGTTTTGGGACTGAATCTACGGAGGGGAGTGATGAAAGGCTAACATTAGCTTACTGAGACAAGGTAATGGGGAAAGAAACTGAGGTTCCTTTTGACAGGAGTAAAGAGCAGACAACAGGACATGGCTGTGTGACAGCTTCTGTCATAGCCAACACCAGCCTCTCCTTGTACCCATCTTCTCCTTGGCAACATGGATCAAATTCAAGGCACAAATCCAGATAACTTCTTTATGCAGGCAGGAGGTAAAAATTAGAAATGTCAAAACAAGATTTAAATATTTCCTTAGAAAAATTGATTCAGAGTTACTGAATCAAGTTTTTAACTGAATCTTTCCTTCCCTCAAAAATAACAAGTACCCCCAAATGAAACCAATTTTCAATTGAAAGAACATTTTATTCTCCTATCAAATATTGGCAGTAAAAGACTAAATTTTTCATCTTAGAATCAAGTGGGAGCAATTAATGTTGTTGTTTTGACTTTTTGAAGTTGAGTCACTGTATCAAAAGGAACAACTATTTGCACATCTTTAGCAGTTCTGCAGGACACTAATGGAGGATGAACATTGTTTTATGTGTAGTACTGGAGAAAGTGCAACTAAAGTTCAAGTGTGTCTACAAGCTGTAAATGTAGTTACCTTGGATGATTCACAAGTGATGGTGAGGTTCCAGTAGGTACATGCCTGATCACACTGAGGGCACATTATGATATTACCTCCTATGTTGGGGTCACATACTTCTTGGCTAAAAACAAAACTAGTCAGTCACTCACCAGCACTAAATTCTTTAGTCCTTTTTCACCCATGAAGACAGTGCAATAATCTCAGGGAATTAAGGAATAATTTACCAGTGATCTGCACTCAAGAATTCCACCCCCATCCCTTCCCCTGGCAACATATCCCCATTTCCATTCATAGTCCTCGTCTCAAAAAATGGATGACACATGAGGAAAATAATTTCCATCCCTTTTACATGGTAGTAATTCTCAAAACTGCCCAGACTAAAAATAAAACAGCTCTTAAAAGATCTCACTGTCTTCAGTAGGAAACTCACAGTTGCATGCTCTCACATGCTGTTTGTAGCAAGTCTGAATGGAGAAGGAAGAGCAGCACTGCCTAGCAGAACAAGGGATAGCTGCAGACCTCAAAGGACTTCCTAGTTCCTATTGACTCCTAAACAGGATCAGACTGGAAATGGTGCAGAGGGGAGCTGCCACAAGGATTCATGGGTTTGCAGATCTGTCTCCTGAGAGATGGCAAAGGAGCTGCCATCCCACACTCTCTAACCCAGCATGGTGGAGGCTGGAAGGTAGCATAGTTACTTCCTACCTGTACATCAGGGGGGTAAACACCAGGGAGGCAGCTGAGCTGTGAGCATTCAAGGACTGTGGAATAGCCCTTCAGCAAGGAATGTGATGGACACCCTTCCAGGAAGGGGTATACAACTGGATGGCCTGTAGGTCCTTTGACACACTGCCATAATATTTTTTCCCCTGGGTCATTTGCCATGATTGAATTTTGTTGTGTTTTGATGAGAGAATCTGTGTTATGGTTATGCCTTGCCTTCCAAGGTATCCTAAGAAGCTGAAGGCCCCTCTGCTGTTGCTCTTCCTGTATTTTCCCAAATTAGAAGAAAGAAATTTTTAATGTCTTTGGGTATCTAGTTTAAGGATTGCCACAGTGAAAATAATTTCTTATGGCAATTTGTATTGACTTCTGATTGTCACTCTTTTCTTTGTGTTCCTACACTACGTATGGTGAACCTCATGCAAAATATAAATAAAATGATGAAATAAGAAATTCCTGGATGTCTATCACTGTAATGGTCCATGGATATCCATTATTTATCTAATATTTTTATGCCTTTGCCTTCAAATCCACCATAGCAGTTGTTCTCGGGCCCTTTATTTTGCTTTCTTCATTAAGCAGTGTCTTGCAAACCCTGTACTGTCCCCCTGTGATTAAAATTGTACATGATATTAAACCAGGCCTGATCAGGTACCTCCATGTGCAGTTGTCCTTTGTCAGGCATCCATACAGAAAACAGCCAACTCCTACAACTGCAGCCACAGTCAGCATATTTGTGTAAAAGCCCAGCCAAGCAAAGTAGATGCCAATTTTCTCTCCATAGTATTTCCTGTGGAGGAGAAAGGTGTGGGGTTTTTTTTTCTGAAACGCAAGTAAATTTGCATTCCTGTTTCAAATGGCTCTTAATTTCACACATTTTATGCCAACCCATATTGTCATAGTCCTCTGGTTTCAAGTTTGGGATTGCAGTAGTATTGCATGTTTTTGTGAAAGGATGGAAATGGAGGGGGAGAAATGAAAAACAGAAAAGATCATGGCTGCAAAGAAAAATTTTAAGTGGCTGCATTTTCATCATCATGAAACCAATTTCAAATTATGCTCCTGTGGACGAGCTGATCTGGATGTATGTATCTTCCCTCAGAACTAACCTGTGTCTCTTTGACTTCCCCAAACCAGACCTATTGTGTAGATTTCTCTTTCTCCCTGCATTAGTCCAGTTCCAGTTACACCAACCTGATGAAATCCAGGGGTTGCAGTTTGAAAATGTTTTTAGGATGAGCCCATTCTCTGTAGAGGAGATATCGTTCGCTTGGGCAGCTGGGATCAGTCGACAGGTGCCTAAAACTCGACTGCAAAACAGAATGAGCACAAGAAGACAGCACTAAAATCTAACCAGAGCAGCTCATCTCTCATCTCTACAGACCTTCTCTATGCCACAAAGCTAGAGTCTGGAGTAGCATTTAGACAGTCTTACTGCAAGCTAGGAAAAGGAGCAGCAGCTCTGGGAGCACACCAGGATTCAGGATAGAAGATTGTCAAAAAGGCACTGAATGCTAAAGTAAATGCTGTACATATGTGAGCTGAAAATAACAGGGACTCATCATGAACTCAATCTAAGCACATGTCAGCATCTTGGCACTTAGGAATAGAAAATAAAAAAGGATCCATTCTAATTAGAGAACAGGACTGAACTAAAATGGATTTTAAGTAGCTTTAACATGCTACACATGCTTTGCTTCAAAATAGTACTGTACTAGAAAACAGGCTGGAAAGACTGAGGGAAAAATCCAGGGCCTCTAATCTCTGCTTTAAATTTAAAAGAGAGTTCACGTGGAGATAATCTTTGCATTTCTTAGTAGGTTATAAAAAAAGCTATTTCAATAAAACCTGTTTTGTTTGAGACATTTTCCATTCTATACCTGAGATGCAAAAACATGAGTAATGTTCGTAGAAATCTATCTGCTACTTTTCATTTTCAGCATAGCTGTTATGTATAATTTAAACTGTATAAAAAGACAGTCATTAATTACTAGTCATAAATACTGAGTCCAAGTTCCCCATGCCACGATAGAAATATCCTGCAAGGCAGGTTTCAAATCTTTAAAAGGAAACTTTAAAAATGGCTAGTCACAAATTATACGAATTCTATTCTGTAAATCTTTGATTACTTACAAGAAACATGGTTTGTCTTGATTCTGCCTTAAAAATTTCTTTGAAAACCTTGGAGGCCTCCTAAATATTTTAAGCCAAGTCCATGCAGCTGAAGCAGTTATCATTCCTGACCTCCCATGTTCTCAATGTCTCCTTGACAGAACACACCTTGGACACAGAATGGTGGCTCTGAGGGGGACAAGTTGGGATGTTGCAGTTATGCAATAGATAGAATACAGAAAATCAGCCCTCAGTCTTTGCTTACTTTGCATTCACAGCCTCACATGGAGCTTTTTCTTTGCCAAATATTCTGAAATCTGATTTTTTTCTCCACAATTTCTTTTGGTGCTATTGCTAGCCCCGGTATACAAAATAATTTTCAGTATAACTTTCTTATTCAAATGATATAATTTAAAAAGCTTCAGAAGTGTAGCTGCAAAAGCTGGATTTGTTATTATTGCAAGGTGAACTTGAAACCAATAAAGGTTTTTTCTGCAAGATTCTGACACCTGTGAGGCATTGGACTGGCTGGGCAGAGTCTTCCTATAGAAACCTGAGTCTCATGCAATGTTTGGGAACAAAGGGACTGTTTCTCAATGTGCAAGACTTTCACACATCCTAAAATGAGATTTGTAGTCTACATCTTTATCAACAATTTTACAGGAATTTTAATATTGGAAAATAGCATACTAACGAAACATTGACTTAGGACTGTTAATGCAGTGTGTCATGGGAACTATCTATCAGTCCAGGTGCTTTACAGAAATACAAATCTAAGAACTCTCAAGTGATATATATTGTTTTTCCTTTATAGAAATACGCTTTTAACCAACAGTGCTTTGGAAGAAAATCTCTTTAGCAAAACCACATCATATTCTTAGATATAATACCAGTCCAGGAATAAGGCAATGAATAGTGCTTCTATCCTTTGATATACCTAGAGGATATATATATCTAGATATAGTTCAGACCTCTATTTCAAAGTGTATTTTAGTTACAAGCACCAGACTTACATCATGAAGGGGAAATGCTGCTTTGTAGATTCCAGTGTCCAGTAACTTGTTAATGCCAAATTTTTTCACATTATTTTTTGTTGCATATTCCACACGGGACAGGATAAAATGAACCTGAAATTAAAAAAAAAAAAATTTTGTGTCCTTGCAACCTGAAAGAAATCATATACAGCTATACCTGTCTCAGCATATAATCAAGTTAAGAAAGAGCAATCAGTGTAGACAAAATTAATTGCACAGGGTGTACAAACCTTCAAATCCCTCCATTAAATTCAGGTGGAAAAGAAGTAGGATAAATGTAAGTAAATTTTTCCTTCTGGATTGCCCCGGCTATTTCATAAATCACACAGGACTGTTGCATCCCAAACATTTTTAATTTTTTTAGGATGTTCTACTGAAAGTAATTACATTGATTTGATAAAAGGAATAGTTTCTTTTTATGCTAGAAATAATGCTAGAAATACTCCATCGACTTACAATTCGGCTTCTAGTTGCAGGATTGAAAAATGTGTCTTTGTCTTGGATGTAGAAGTTGGACAAATGTTCCTTTTGAAAAGGGGCAGTGAAAAACTCTTGCTCAGGTTTGATGATATTTTCGTCCACCCTGAAGAGTCTACTGAACCAGTTGAAGGCTGACTTTCGGGTTTTCATGTCATTCTGTTGCAGGGGCAATTTGATGTGCATTACCTCGGCGTACGTGCACAGCACTTCCCAAGGTGCATGCACTTTCACAAAAATAAGCTTCTCATCCAAAACCTGAGATGAAAGAATATTGAAAATAACTATGTAAGCATTTTCATTTTTACAATTCTTGAACTATCTAGAATTTTCTTTCTCTTTACAGCTCATAGATGACCTACTCTAAGTTGCATTCATTGTCCATCCCAGCAAATATATCATTGGCTTCTGTAAAAGCGCTGACATGAGGAAACATTCAGGCAGATGAAGGCATATAAAGATATATAAAAAAAGACAGTTAAATCTTCCCTTAATGCTTAATGTTTACATCTCTGCAAAGTATTTTACAAAGCAATTTAAGTGTAACACTTTGCCCATACAGGGTCATTAGGACTCTGTTTGCTTGTAGTTTGACAGGGCAGGCATGGCTCTGGAGCTGCCAGCAACTCCCCAGCAGCTGAGTTACAACCCAGTGTGATGGGAGCAGGCTAGGCACTCATGGGAGCTCCTGGGCAACAAGAATTCCAAGCTTCCTAGAGAGAATGGGGAAAGGGAAATTAGATGAAACTGCTGAAATAGACAGCACGGGGCATGTTTGCTCCCAGTGGAAATCCCAAACCCACAGCAGCAGTGTGCAGTGGGAACCCTGACAGCCACTCCTGCCTCCTGTCTACACATGGCCTGTAGACCTACTGCTGCTCTGCATTAGTGAGTGTCAGCCACATGACATTTCCTTATGTAGCTCATTGGCTCAGGAGCACTGATCTGATATCTGATCCAGCCTGGGGAAATGTCCAGTTTCAAATGTTTTTCAGTCATAATCACAGCAGAACTATTGAAGACTGCAATTTGTAAGTATAACACCAGGTCTGCAGCAGCCTTCCAGACAGCAAGCATTTACTTTCTTGTGAATGTGAAGAACCAGACTGCATTCGTGGACACGCAGCTGGAGTCCTCACTGCAGACAAATAAATTCTGTGATGCCATAGATTCTAATTTGGGAGGAAGGGGCAAAGCGACTATTTCTGAAGCTCACTATAGACTGCCAGACAACAGCAAAGTTAGACTGGAAGTGATTGTCCTGGAGAGGGAGACCCAGATGGAACACTGCGGCCCTGCAGGGCAGGAAGAAAGAGAAGGCATTTGGAGGGGCTCTAACCTTCCCTGCCAGAGCCAGCAGCCCTGCAGCTGGTGTGCATTTCCACAGTGCTCTTGAACAGCCTGCAGGTGACATCGCAGCCTTTTGAGAAGCAGGGTCACGCGCAGGAGCCCTGCGCTGCTCTCCTGGCAGGGCCATTCTGCCCCAGACACACACCAACCTCCCACCTGTACTGCACAGCCAGAGTATAGCAAGTACCCCTCTGCAGGGTACAGACAGTCGTTTTTATCTTCCAAGCTCTGAGCAAACATGACCTATCTAATCTCCCAGCTTCATGATGTAATCTTCCAGCTTCCCTTTTTTTATTTTGCAGAGGAAGGAGCAGACATAAGTTTAAAAAGATTTTGCATCAGATCTCAAAGACACTGCTAATGGAAGAAAGGTGGGCCTTTTTTTCTTGAGAGGAGAGAAATCTTACAGTGAATTAATATATCCAGTTTCCTTAATCCCACCGGGGCAGCTCTGCTCTCAGAACAGCCATTCACACAGAGAATAGCACTCACCGACCTCGTTGCTTCTAGTTGCAAGCCATTGTTTATCAGGTTTGATTCATATACTTGTCTCTTCCTCTGTTAAAAGATATTGAACACTGTAAAACATCTGTTCCAAGTTTCACAAAAATGTATGCATAGAAAAATGGAATTGCTTCCAAAACCATCACTATGTTATCTCTATAACACTTGATAGCTACTGTGGTGATATGTACAGTCCTACCTACTAATTAATCTGGATCAGTTTTTTTGTCTGATATGGAATATTGCCCTCAAATGCAATTGTGGAGAATTTATCCTCTCAGTTTCTGGTACATTAGGTGTAAGAGGTGTAAGAGGTGTAAGAGGTGTAAGTGTGACTCAGATTTTTAAAGTTTGTAAATCTACTCCTGAAATTTTGATCTCTTTCAACTTTAGTCACTAAGTGAATTACATTAATCTTCCTTTAGAAAGTGTTCATCTCAAATGCTTTCCACTCCACTTTCCTTCCAGAAACCTGTAACTTTATGCTTCTTTCACAGTAATCATATGAGTTCACTCAGTGGTTCAAACTGTAGTATCCCAGTATATTTTAGTCCATGGGCTACATTCCCAAAGGAAAAAGCTGAGAGCTGTAGCACTTGTAGAGTCAGTGGTGCTATTCCAGGAACATTTAATGTCCTCAGAAGGACACAACAAGTTTTTCTCAGTAAAAATCAAATTTGTGGATCATTCAAATTTCATAGTTACCAGCACTTGGCAGATAGTGAGTTACAAAAAACCTGAAATGTCTTTCCAATCTTGAATCTGCTTCTCCATGCAGATGACCTCCTCCCAAGAAACACAGAAACATCCCCTTTCCCCTCAAATACAAAATGTACAACTCCATAAGGGATTTACAAGAAATTTTGAAACTCCATGTGAAGCAATCAAATTTAAAGGCTATCTGCACCAACTTGGTAGTTTCTCAATGATTTATTTGTTTATGTGAGTCAAGGGTAGCCAGCTCTCCCTGAACTACAGACTGCTTGTCAAAATACCAGCCTGGGTAATGGGGGGCACCTGTAGGCAGCTGGGGCTGGGAGCTCCTAAGTGAGCAGTTTGCTGGAAGAACATTAATTTAATGCACTGGGGACTGAGAGCTTTACTCCTGTACCAGGTTAGGCTAGGGCTGCAGTGAGGTTCTCAGAGTGACGTGGGCATACTACTTTCTTACTCCCCCATTCCTGTCATGCCACTGGCCAATTTCTTTGTTGATTAATATGTACTCAAAGGAACTGGCATCTCCCACTACAGGAACTTTAGAAGGACTCAGTGCTTTTTGTCACGTGGTTCTCCATAGCAATTCTAGCTGCCTTAAGATCTGTGCACAGGATCCAGACCTGTTGCTACTGTGCACGACCAGAGTCAATGAATGACCCTCTAGATAAAATCTTGGGAAACTGGATAGGTGCATAGAAAGCAGTCCTCAAGGCTCACCCACTCTAGGGGCAAAAAGATGAATCAGCAAATGGTAAAAATGGTAAAAATCTTCATAAGTTCCACAGGAACAGGTCAGTTGTATATCCAAATAAGTTTCATACAGTTCTTGAATATTTTAAGATGGTTATAAGTCCCCAAACAAGAAAATGCTATTTTTCCAAAACTTTATCAAGTCTTGAAATGAATAATTATAGAACTGAATGACAATATGAACAGCCCACCCCATTTATAGCTTGTTATTTCCCAGCTGAGCAGCTGCATGTAGAAATGATCTCAATGGACTAATCTCATATTTTGTGAAAAAGTATTTTTCTTATCTGTTTTGGGTGTTCTACCTTTTTATTCCACTGAATATCACCTTCTACTCAAGCTAGGCACAAGAAGAGCCAAATATTTCAGTCTGTTTTTTTAGGTTTTTTTTTTTTTTTCCCTCATCGATACTTATCACCCTTCTCCTTATTCCTTGCTTTTTTCAGGACAAAACCACGACCCTAGACTTTGATAGCACTCTCCATAGAGGGATCTCTCCATTCTCAGTAATTCACTTGGCTATTGGAGACAGTATAATGCTGTTTATATTTTTTCCTTGTATATATGTGTGTGTGTGTGTAATATAGACATTTATGATGTGTACATCTAATTATCTTTTTTGTACTGACAGCTCAAAATTATAATCACAAATGTGAATGAGTGTTTTTCTTGCAGTAATATATTTTCTTGCATTTTCAAGATATTCACTATTTATTTCATAGATAATAATGTTCTCCAGTCTCCTTTAAAGCTAAATGTTTTCAGCCACCTTGGCTTCTAAGAAAACTATGTAATGATTTCCTCTGCAATTTTTGTTTTATGAAAACTCAACCCTCTTACCAGTTTATGAGTATATTAGTACACAACACACAGGAGTTTGTCACTCTAGTAGTAACTCTTCTGCCCTTTCATCCCACCTCTTTGCTTCTTCCATATTCACGTGGTTGTTTCTAAAGTGAATACTACTCAATCATGAAAGTATTTCAACCCAAGTTCTGCTTTGTTCCAGTAAATAAAACAGGCAGGGGGCTAAATACCTGTTTGATTTTCTCTATAAATAGCATAAAAATAGATGCAGAGCAATTCTCATTTGTAGAAGTCTAATACTATTTTTAAAAAACTTTTAATCAGATTCCTTTAATAATTGATTATGGAAAGGAGTTCCCAAAATTAATTTTGCCCTCAAAATCTTAGATGAATGTTGACAATATTAAGGTTTCTAATAATGCATAAATTCAAATAGTGAGAAATAAAGCCTCTGGGAGGCTTTGCTAATTAGGGGCTTTGCTTTTTTATATAAATGATTGAATTATGTGTATAGTGATCTATGGAGGAGCTAGACTTTTACCCAGAGGAGTCTATAGTGGTTTTGCATTGACTGGGGAATACAGTATATAGATATAACAGTTTATTAGGCTGGAAGGTGGAGACCATCCAAAGTTTATTTTAGTATCTGGCATTTTGCTCAGCTACCTGCAAGGCTAAGTTGCAGTAATACAGCAATCATGGTAATGCTGCTGATCTAAATCTGACATAGGTTTTGATGATTGAAGGGCTAGTCAATAGACTAAGACACCTAGCATGCATAATCATACACAGTCTTAAGAAAATGAAAGCAGAAAGTAAGTAAATGCCAAGTATTACAGGCATGTGGAAGGATCAGCTTTTGAGAGCTGCTTTTTCACCACGCTGCTTTCAATTTCTGGTGATTGTCTTGCCAAGTTGAGGAGATTAACAAGATTGTGGGTCTGGAAATTGGTAGCAGACCAGTAGCACTTTTCCCCTGTCTGTTGTAAATGGTAGGGAAGATTTGCTTTGATTACAGTGACAGAAGAACGCCAACTTATATCTTCACTAAGTTTCTTTTGTGCAAAAAGTTCCCTACCACAACATCCATGTGGGTTCAGGGTAAAAATCCTAACTAAAAAAGAGAGCTTGAATAGCCTCCTCTGCCTTAACTGACAGGCAACAGATAAATCATAGTCAATAAGAGAAAGTACATGGGGCCCAAAGCCTCCCCTATGGAAAACAGCTGAAGGAAGTGAAGTGGATCATTGTAACAATATTAGCTGCCTCACAGTTTCTTTGATGGTGTTTGGAAACTTTCCTCAAAGTCCCTGCTGTCAGCATCAGAAAACTAATTGATTGAGAAGCTCTGCTCTGTAAGCTTATTTCCCTTGCATTTGAAGACAATCATAAAAATGAGAAGCAGAACATGCTATAGAGAATAAGCCCCAAAAATGCAAACCCAAACAACTCCAAATACATATTTTCTGATATACCCTTTGATTTTAAGCCAGCTTCATGGTTTTTTGCAACCTGATCCGTGACCACACAGAACTGGTAATACTGCAGTCTAGCCCTGCCCTCAACAACAGCTTCCAGTCACCCTGTTTGGAAAGATCCAGTTTTGACCTATGTAGCAACTGCAGAGTAACTCCCTCCTTCTATCTGTCTTCATATTCTTCTGTCATCCTTCCTTCCAAAGTAGTAAAATTTGGGTCTGTGGTTGCCTCAGGAACAGAGGTTTTATTTCAGTGAGTTTCTGTTTCAAAACCAAACCATTCAGCTGAGATGAAGGCAGGTGTGACCGTCCTCCTCCCAGTACCAAAGGTCCCTTCCATACTTATCAGACTTCCTGAGTAGGTTGGCTGAGCACACCACAGGCATGAGCCTGTCATTCTCTACTGCCTCAAATCACTGCATAAAATGGCACAGAGATACCCTTTTACCTGTAAACCCAAGTGCTGCTCTCTCACTGCAGGTATGACACATGCTAAGCTGTGGGAAAAGTATAATTCTTGTTTGAAAAGTTACCCAAGCTTATTTTTGTTCACATTTTTTTTTTCTTTTTGTGGTTTTATTGTTGTTGGTTATCTGAACTAGACAACTACAGAGGCAGGAACTGTTCATCATTTGCTTATGGAAACAAAATTCTCCAGCTCTACTTAAGTTCTCTGTACTTAAAAAAACCCAATGAGATATGTGTAATACTCTCCATGAGTGATAGTTTCATACAATTTGGAAAAAAAAAAAATCATCTATTTCTGAGAAGCACAGATTCCTCCATGGCTGGAAATGAAGGTTTTGCCCACATTCCAATTTAAATTATTGACAGCCTTTCTGTTTATTTCTGTTGGGGGGAAATAGATGGACTAAAATGACATTTTGCATTGATTTATCTTGAATTCACCTTTCTGGCCCTGATCCTTTGACTTTCAACAGTGAGCTCCTTGAGGACCTCAATAAATGAAACTGGTATTTGGGAGCATTCCCGAAGAGACTGGCTGTATTTAAATTCTATTCTGATGGTAAGCTATCCTGACAAATGGGGTACATAAATTGTGGATTTAAAAGATACGCTTTGAGCAAGAATTTCAATTGCTTGCAAGGTACAGTTTCTGGAATCTTCTCCTGGCAGTCTCATTTCTGCTAGTGCTTGCAAAATTAATTGTATACCAACTCTAAAAGTTTGGAATTTGAACTGAGTTGCATATTTGAAACTTACCTACTAGCTTTTGGATCTATAAATTATGTTAGACACTTCCCTGAGGTTGTCATTTCATTAGTTTGACTTTGCCTACCCTAAACCAGATTTCAGAAACAGATGAAAATAAGAGAAACCCTGTGGATCTCCAAGGGCTTCAGAATCACATATTTTTGTCCCTTCTATCAAATCATACCCATGTTTTATTTCCTGCTGTCCTCTGAGCTATTTTCCCAAGAATATTGCTTACTACTATAAACTAATGCTGAACCATTCCATTACATTTACCCAATTATTCAGAAAAAGAGCAGAAAGCCATTCAAATCCAATATGACTCCCAGGATCTGAGTCTTCTCTTGCTGAAGAAGGACACATGGATCTGTGCCCTGTTTCTCTGAATTTGGTCAATTGGATGCCTAGGTTGTGGTCTGATTTTCAAATCCTTCTGTCTAAATTCAGTAAGAATCTGGGGACTCCTCCACATTCATAATGTATCGTTAAAAAACCACCCACTGCAGCACACAAAACATTTCCCTTCAGAAATCTACAGATGTCCACTAATAATTTGAATTCTGAAAAAACTTCCACATCCTGCAATTCGATGGGGTGCTGTGTGTGTCAGGCAGATTTTTTCCCAGTGACTAATCTCTAGATTTCACAGACCTGTAACATTGCACACAATCAGCAGAAAACTTGCTCCTGACTCCAGTGACATGAGGGTATCACCCTATGGGAAGAGACTTCACTAAATCTTCTATTTTTCAGTAAGCTGGAGTTTCCAAACTCTGTGCACAATAAAGCTCTGGATAATAGCTCTATAAAACTGTGAGGGAAGTCAAAGAAAGAGTAGCATGGGCAAGGAACCTATCTATGCTTAAAGCACCCTGAATTACACAAGATGCTACTTATACAATTTGGCATTTTCAGTTCATCATTGATCAGACAGTGATGTATGCAGTATTTAAAAATGATTGTACATGGCAATGCTCCTTACTTTGATTGCATTTCACCACAAGGGTGGAAGTAATTTGTCTCAGAAAAAATTACAACCAAATAAACAACAATGTCAGTAAAGACAAGCTATAAAGGGGTTTATGCCAACATCGCTGAGATCTGAGTGTAACTTGGGCAGCACTAACCCCACATCATTCTGGGAACTGTGATAGGCCAAAATGTTAATTCTAAGGATGCAAAGCTGCACCACAAATGTAGTCTTAATTTCAATCTCAGATATAAGGTATATGAGTACAGCCCCCCTGTTGCTTCAGCTTTTGCTTATGCATGGAAATACTGGTTTTGGCTTCCTTCTGACACATCCCAGTCACCCATGGCTCATGTGTCACTCTCCTGGCTGTACTCCTGTCCATACAGGTTTTGTTGGCCACTTTGCTGTCAGGCTGCACAGCTGGTTCTTGTTCAGCTTGCTCTCCACAAAAACCACCAGGGCTTCTTCCACAGAACTGCTCCCCAGCTGCTTTGTCTTCCCCTTATCTGGTCACTCATCTGATACGGTCTTTTCCTCATGTGTGTTGCGTGTAGGTAGATTGCTTCCTCTTCCTCAGCACACCACAGAGTCAATGTGGCTGCAGATCTTTGTGGAACTAAGAGTTTGGAAAGTAAAGTTTTTATGCAAGCACCTACCCACAATCTCCTGGTCTAATTATTAATGGTTTCATTCTGGCTAATGTTTTAACATTAATGCTGCACTGAAAATACTACTCCACTGCTCACATTTAATTTCCATCACTACTTAGAAAAGATGCTCATTATATTTTTAATATATTTGGGCAATGGCCAAGTATTACAAACATAAATGTAAAATGCTAATTGATAAAAACAATTCTTTCCAAAGGGGCAGCTTTTTTGTCTAATTACCTCTTTCAATTAATTTATATTGCTGATCCTGTGATCATGTGTAATACAACATCCACCCACGGCAGGACTCCCTCAAACCCTACTAACGACATTCCTTATGGCTGTCCTGTTAATGCCAACAACAACACTGTGTAATGAGTATCAACCAACTTAGCTACAGGCCTTTTTACTCCTACTCTTCTATTTCCTAACTGCAAATTATTATTTGTATATGAGCTGCATTCAGTGATATCTTTGTCCCTTCCTGTCTCTACCAGAGGCTGCTCCTGGAACATGGATTATTACTAAAGCAGAGGAGGATGTGGGTGGGTGGGTGGGGGAGTGCAGATGCCAAGGGAACAATCTCATGGATGCTTATTTCTCAGACAGTTCAGTGGCATGGCTGAGCTCATTTTTGTGACCCTGTGTGCCATAATGAATGTAGTCCTCTGATGGAACTGATGAAATGATTAAAGAATAATACTTAATCTATTATTGTGCTTCATTGATAAGGAGCTGTGGAGCTGTGGATACTAAGGAGCATCAAGAAGTCACTGGCTTGAGTCAGAAACTTTGCAAGGTCTCTAGCAAGGACGAAGCTGCTGAAGTGTTAAGGGAAAGAATTATACAAGAAAAATTCTGGTGGCAGATGTGCAGCTACTTAGCTATGTCATCAGAAGTCAGCAGAATGTCAGCAGCTGTGTTCATAACAGTGGTCTGGAGCAACTGGTCATCCACCTCCTCTGGGTTCCTCTGAATACTCTGATTTAATTACCAAAGTCCACTAGGGGCCTAATTAAATCACTGTAGGTACAGAAAATTTTCCCAGTGTTAAGATCTTGGTGTCTAACTCTAACCTGACTCCAGCATTTTCCTGCTCACATCTTCTGAAGGGTGGCCTCTGAGGAGGATGCTCTGAGGTCACCAAGCACACGCTGACAGACACGATGGGCAGTGCTCTGCCCATCTACACAGCAATCTAGTGCCTCGAGCCCTGTTCCCTGCTCAGTTTGATGGGCTTCAGTCTCCCAGCTCCCAACTCTGAGGATAAGTAAAGCAATTGCTGTTCTGGGTGAGGGCACCGTCCCTTCAGCCCACAGCTCTAACACCCAGTATATGAAAAATAACTCACCTTTTGCTTTTTACGATCACTCCTCTTATGAGTCATTTTTTTACTTTCATCTTCATACACCAAAACAAAGTCAATTCTTCGCTGCCCATCTTTGAAGAACAAGGAGTCAGGCTTATCATCAAAATCCACCTGAAAGGCAGGTGGTATAGGTTAATATGAAGATCTTAACTTGCTAGTTCCTTACTTGCCCTTTACACAGTATTTCAATGAACACAGAAATTCAACATAAATCAGCCTTGTGTAACAGGAAGCCCAAAATGACAAAGTTGCACATAACAAAAAGAAGAAAAATAAATTATCCAGAGGAATTTGTCAGGTCTCTGCATGACATCAAATCAATAGAACCTTGACTTAACTTTCATGTTTAAAAATGGTACATTAGATTTTTATAATGAGAGAAGTACTGGGATGCAGCTCCAGTACCAAATAATGCATCTGTCTAGTAATCTGTACACCATCATAGACATATCATTAGATAGTTTGTCTACAAGATTGTTGTTGCCTGATGTGAGTCTCAGAATTAGTGCATTCCCATCTGTTCCCTTACCTGAACAAATGTAAGCATCTCTGTAATTACTAAAAAAAAAAAATAAAAAGAAGCAGTAGTTTCATGCATGCTTGTACTTAAACCCACCACTGCCAAGAGAACAAAGAACATGATCAGAGCAGAGATGAGATCTCCAAACAGACACATATTATCTGGATTTATTTCTCATTTTATCTGCAACAACTCAGCAAGCAAAAACACATTGTTGTGTGCCACACATCCATCATGTTATAACAGATGCCAAAATCAAAAGTTTTAATATATCCATAAGCCATTATCTAGTCCCTGAAGGAAAGTAGGATAGATTGTCATATCCACTAATAACATCTTAATGTGTTATTTCATGTGTGAAACGATACAGATACTTTGGTGACAGGGAAACCTGAACACTTGAATAATGATTTTGTAGTTTCTTAGAGTACTCGGGGGGCAATATCACACATTACCAACCCCCTCCTTTCAGGTAATATGCAGCTGTAATGTCATCCAAATCATGCTATGTAATGTGCACCAGCCTCTCAGGTACTTGGCCAAATCCATCCGTGATGTTAACGGAGGCGGCGCCACTGTAGATAGTGGATAGTTTCCTTCAGAAACCTGAAGTGGGACTCAGCACGGCACTAGAGACAGGAACATCTCCAAAGCTGGCCAGGCTCCTACACAGAACTGCAGAGGAGCCTTGGCCTCCAGCTGACTGGGCATGGAGGCTTGGCCAAGCCAGGATCAGATCAGGAAAAATGACACAGAATAATCTCTTGCATTTGCTGTGAATGTGGCAATGATTCCCAGATGTCCCATCCCTGGAATTCCACTGTCAGACCAAATTTTGTGAGACATGCCAGGTCAGGTTTTGGAGGTCTAGGATGTCTGGTCCAAGAAAGACCATGGAAATGTGGTTATGAAATGTGGTCTATGGGGTTAGAAACCCCAGCAGTGCAGCCTGAAATGGTTGTTCTTCAACTGTGAAGAACCAAGAAGAATGTCAGTCTTCAGCCAGGAACACCCAAGTTCCAGGGAGCATATAGTGTTTTAGGAACCACGTGTCAGTTTTTCCAAAACAAGTATTCTCATGGGGTTTTTTTTTGGCAAAACCTCTCCCTGTAGATTATTTTGTAACTGTTTATTGGCTGAACCAAAACAGGCAACCAAGAGGTGTCTCCCTGTAATTATGACAAAATTTCCATATTTTAAATAAACTCAGGGGTGTTTAAACTCACAATTTTTTAATGTTGCATGTGCAAAGGCTAGGACCTGCTGCAAAGAGGTCCTGTTGATTTAGTTGCTTCAAAAGTCTGAGCAGATTCTTGAACAGAACAGTTTTCTTTGAATGCCACCTGTGTGTTGGGACTTGTGACAAACCTGACAGCAAGCAGCTGCTGACACACATACACATATGGCCAGTATACACACATTCTGCATGTCAGTTTCACAGCCTGGGATAGGATTTAGAGACTACCTAGGCAGTCACCAAACCAAGATAAAATAGCATACTGTGAAAAAAGTTTTAGGAAAAAAAAGGCATTCAGTTTCCAGATGACATCACCAGACCACAATGACATCAAGTATTTCTACCAGCCAAAGCAAGTCAGAGGTGTGAATTTCTAAATTCTTGAGAGATGAAATTAGCATAGTCCTATCAAGAAATCAGAATTGGCTGTGACAAGCTTTCCTCCTGCTGAGGACTAGTCACAGGTGTAAAACACAGACTTGCTGCTATAATTTCCAATCTCATTTAAAACATAACCACGATGATTTCATGTTGACAAGATTGGCTATAGGGAGGAAAGCACCACCAACAGCCAACAGCCCCTGTTGGGACACAGCCTGGGAGCTGCTGCTGTCCCCTAGGACCACGGTGGGCTGCGGCACACCGCGGGCTCCGATGCTGCAATGTGGAAACACAGGGCCCAGATCCTGTGAAAATCAATAACAGGGGGAAGGGTTGCCACTGCATAAAGCATGAGGCCTTTTAACTGGGCTTTTTCCTCTTTGGAATCTTAGAAACATCATTATAATAACTTCTGTTTAAAGACACACAGTTTAGTTGTGAAAGTCAAGCACTCAAAAGCATAAAAGTAGTAATAGCTTTAGCTTTTTTTTTCACTGCAGCTTTTAGGACATTTTTTGATATGACCTGTCCTCAGGATAAAAAAAGACATGGAAAAGAGCAAACATCAAATCAAGTTTTGATAGAAGAGGACTTGATGGTAATTTGTGTTTACATAATTTCACACAGTAATTTTCCTTTAAATGTAGTCTTTTTTAAGCTTAAAAAAGCAGTGATAACTGGATTATCATTAATAATTCGTCATATTAAAAACTGTTATACAGTAGTTATAAAAAAAAATTTATAAAATCTGCCTGTTAAACCAGCATTCTGACTGATAAATTTACTTACATAAGTGTTGTCATTCACACGTGTGTATAACTGTTATTACATGTATACACCTTAATCTCTCTCTTTCACACACCACGCACATATAAATTGAATATAGCTGAAAGATTAATAAATATTTGACTGCATGAATCCAGACACACAGAAGTTTATACTTATGGAGTTAACTTCTTATATATAATCTCCATTGCTTTTAATCACAAGGACATTGTTCAGTTGGCCTTTCCATAGACATTTTATGTATCAATAAAATAATAAATAATTGACTCATGAAGCCTGAATACTTAAGAGATCAAGATTTAGACCTACACAAATAGATTTTTATGTAGCTAATAATAAATTAAATATTGGTCAATTAAAATTAAGAAGTAAAATGTAAAAGAGAAGGTAATAGCCAAGTTTCCAACAGCCACATTAACTTACTTGTGTGGTGTATTTTGTAGTCCCTAATGGATAGCTGGTAATGAAAAATCATATATTATTCAACATAACTACCCAGGGAAAAACAGGACTGGAAACCAAAAAGATGTAGTCTACTTTGAAGTTAGCATTTCCTTTGAGACAATGGTTGTTTTGGAGTTTTTTTAATATGTAATATTATTTGACAGTTTTACAAATGTTACTATCATACCAGTGCACACAAGCTCGCATGCATAGACAAATTAATGGGACTGAAATTTCAATACACAGTTTTTTAAAGTATCAGTAGCAAACTATAGCTCCAAATAATGAACAGGCCCATTGGCACCTCATCTAAAATACAGGACTATTTACTGCACTATTTAATTTTTTACCCTTGGCATAAATACGTTTTTAAGTACTGATGAAGGCAATCAGTTGTGCACTCTAATGTTTTAATAATACTCTAATGAACAGCAGGTTAATACTGATTAACACCACTAATAAAAAAATATATATCTATATAGCTGTGAAATACTAATTATGCTTAGCACACAATCTGCAGCCTTTAATGACTATCTAAGTGCTGGACAACCAACTGCTTGCACTATCAGCTGCTTTTTTAACAGAAGGAATCTGAAGGAGAGAAGGACCTGGCCAGGATTAAAGTTTTTTGTAACAATGAGGTTGCAGTTCTGTGGGCTAGCCCAGAGCAGCATGGCCACGTCCATGCAGCTGCACCTCTGTGCTTCAGTTCGGTCACAGCAGGTGAGCGTCACAGGCTCTTCAGGGAACAAGACAATGGAAAGCCCAGAAATGTGTGTCATACAGACACCACCTCCTCACCAAATGCCTTCTCCATGCTGGGGCCCTCAGTGGCAGCAGATGCACAGCCAGGGGGTGGGTGTGGGATCCTGCTGCGGCTGGGAAGCGCTGCACTGCTGCAGCCACGCTGAAGGCGCTGGTCATAAGCACACCTCTGCCAAGCACCCCCTTCCCTTACACACCTTATCTTCCTACTTCCCGAGTGTGTCCCCCTGCGGCCACCTCGGCAGAGGAATAAGGAGCTCACTGCCCTCTGGTAATCCAGCACAAGCCACCACCAGCCAACAGCACCGGCTCTCGCAGACCCCGGGACACAGCAGCACTTGGAACAGGGGCAAGTGGGGCAGCAAGACAAGCTTGCCCCAGCACAGAAGGCTGAGGCAACGGTTTTGGGAGATCCCCTCAGCCCCTGGACTCAGAATTCATCAGGAGGGAGACTTCTGTGTGCCCTCCACACGTCTAAGCAGGCTCGCTGGTGTCTAAGGGGAGCTGCCGTGTCTCTCTGAGAGCTGCCCTGTAGTCATGGCTGCACGCGATGCCTGCAGTAAAGGAGAACATGCAGGCGGAAAGCTCCTTTCAGCAGCAGCTGTGACCCAGGGAGGAAAAACGGCTTGGCACTTCCAAGAAACCTGCCTCACTTTTCCAGGCTTCTCTAGGCATGATATAGTTAAATATTCAGTGTGGATAATGGTGGGATGGGCAGCACAGAGACAAGCAGGAAGAAAAATACATGCACAGGAATTGCAGCTATTTATTGTTTGCTATACCCTGAACAAGCACAGTATTGTAAGCTGGATTTTTTTAAATAACAAGAGGTTCAGCAGGAATGATTTATCTAACTGGAAAGATGAAAGAAGTGCTTTATTTTGCCTGCAAGAGCCTTTGGTGTGACTGCCAATAGCGCCAAATGTAATCATTACTGGAGGGATAAACTACTTGTCTGCAACCTCACATAATTTTCAGATATGCTTCAAAATAGCATCCTGCAGCATGCCAGTGAATAAATCAGTACTGGGAGAGAAGAGAGCAGAGCAGAGCCTGTGAAACATTGCCTCTGCTGATAGGCACCTGCAAAAAATCCTCCCACTGGGGCACAGGGACAGGCACACGGGGGATCTGCAGGTTGCACTTCAGTCGTGGGTTTTATGAAGGGAAAAATTTCAGAGTGACTAATTAGGAGCACAGTTATTTCTCTCTGTCTGCTTCAGGGAACATTAAAACAAGTAAATAAAAAGAAAACAAACTATATTACCAGGGTATCAGGAAGGATAATTATTTATAAATGACTTTGAGATCATCTGAAGAAAAAGTTGCAGAAATACAAAGTTCTTCTTACTATCACAACCACGTAAAAAGATTTTTAAATTGCTTTAGGTTCTGAGCAACCAATAGAGAAAACTTTCTGACATTAATACCAACACAAGAATTTATTTCTGGATTATATTGATATACATAATATAAAAGATAGTGCTGGAAGATGTAAGTTTATTTGCATATTGCATAATAATGTTGGTCTGTCTCTGGAGGACCATAAAATTTCAGTGCCTTTAATATTTTCCTTTATTATTCATGTTTTTAATAACAACAGAGGACTGTTTTCATTCTCTTTTTAGCAATAATGTGAATATTAGCAAGCACTTCATCAGAAGAAGATTTTTTTTTTATTTCCTCAACACGCAAAGGAATTTCAGCTATGTAACAAACTGAAATAAACTGAGACTAAAGAGAAGTAGAAAAAATATGGGGTGTCACTACAGTCATGCATTTCTGTCAGCAGAAAGCAGCTGGTAACCGGCCAGGCATTGGGATGCCTTGTCCCCTGAGCTAAGTTTGGACCAGACACCCACTTGACTTCCTGTCTGAGTGTCAGGTTGCTGTTGCCTGCAGGAGGAATTCCAGTCACTCCTGATTAGAGGGAGACCAAACAGCCTTACTTTTAAAGAAAATGAAGAAAGTGCTCATTGAGAACCTGCTTTTCAGCAACTCCCACCTTTCATGGGATGCAAGAGCTGGGAAATTCATTCCTTTGAACTTCCCAGAAGCCTTCTTGCAGAAGAAATTGTATGTGAGGGGCAGCAGTAATAGAAAGTTTGAAGAAGTTAACCTTGTCCCTGCAGATATTCACTCTCAAAAAAATCTATTTAAAAAATCTCTAAAAAATCTTGTTACATGCCAATTCAAATTATCTACCTACAAAGCAGACAAGTTGCAAAATGAAACAACTAAAGGAAAAGCCTCGAATTAATGCTGTCTGTGCAGTTTAGTCTTCCTTGTACATGTTGTTTATGATACATTATTAAATTGTAGCATCACATGCTATATTTCTATGCTCTTTGTAGCAGCTATGGAATACTCCTTATTATCATCTTCATTTAATGTCTGACAGTTTTTTTTTTAAATTGTTTTATTTGTTTGTTTGTTGGGTTTTTTTTTTTTTTTTTTTGGGGTGGGGGTTTTTTTTTTTTTTTTTTTTTTTTTTTTGTTACACCTCATCTAAGTAGTTTAAATGCTTAAAATAGGGATTTTCTTCTGACTATGCTTTTGGTATTCTCCTCATAGAATCTCAGAGTTTTGCAAGTGTTGTGAAACTTAATTTTAAAAGATCCCCCAGGACAGAAAGCAACAGTATAACTCTCGTTTTAATGGTCATAAGGCATCTAAACATCTATGCCAAAACCTGTCCACTGTCTCCTAAATTTGGAGTTACAGCTTTATACAACAGGACAGTGACATCTTTCCAGGGAGCTTAGCAATTCTCTCTCTTCAAAGAGCAATACACTCAAATCTGGGTCCACATGTCACTCTCTGGCAAATGCAAACAGGGCCATGGATGTTCTCCTTCAGCACACAGGAAAAAGAAAATCTGGCTGCAATTCTACAAGTCTTGCACAAAAATCCTTTAGCAGGGGTTGCCCAATTATCTAGGACCAAACTCAGTTTTTCTAGTGGTAAGAGCCTTTCATTCCTTTCTGCAATTTCCTGCCACATTTAAAGCTTTATGAAGTACCACAAACAATATCCTCACAGATTTTTGGCTTTTTGGAGATAATTGTCCTATGCATGTGCCAAACGAGGCAGGGATTTTGTGGCAAACTTAGCTTACGATCCCATAATTACAGAAAGCACCATAAGAAGAACAGGACTGTTTCTATTAGCCAATAATTTACTTAGTTTTGGGTCCTCAGAAGAACTTGTAAAATCAAATTTCCAGAATACTTCTGGCTGCAACACACAATCTAAGCTTAGACAAAAGGCACAGTACTTCCCTTCCATTCAACTGTTTCAGGTCAGGCTTCCTCTTCAGTCTCTGCTGCTAGCTACAATTAGCCCTAATGTCCTTAGCAGAGGTTCAGCAGATGTCAATTTTTTCTTTCTGTCTCCTCTGACCCACTGAAAAGATCTAGATCAACAAGGAGGACTTGGCACAGAAAGAGCAGTGCAGAGATGCTGCTGAAACTGAGAAGAAACTACAATTGCTGGTAAACATGAGTAACCAAAAATAAAAATCAATTTTGACCATCAATTTTCAGTAGAAATAAAAATAAATTCTACCAAGACTGTTCAGAGGAGACTGTTCTAACCACAAGGTATATGACATTCCAGCTGTTTTGATGCTATTTCTCTTCATAAAAATATGTTAAAAAATCAATGAACCACAAGGAGACTGTAAGAAGGATTTTTCTAATATCAAAATCTAGGCACTCAGTTGGGAAATGGAAGCACTTGATTGCACCTCATGCTTCAAAAATGTTTAAACAGCTTCAAGTTAACACCTTGCTGCAAAACACAGGGTCAGGGGAGGTGAGGATGTCCACCTCCCAGAAGGAAACCAATTTCCAGTTACTTTGGGTATCGGTTTCCTATGAGATCTGAGGCAGGGGCTCTTGAGCTAGAGCCAGCAACCTTACAGCTGCAGAAAATCTTAGGTGAGCTGGGAACCTTGAACTTTGGACAAATGGAATGGACACCCCCAGGTCTTTCTCTTTCTTGTCAGTTCAGTCTCTGGAGTAAGGAATTTCTTGGTGTCTCCAATCTTTCTTAGAACTTTATTGGATATGTGTGTTTATATGTAGGGTGTGTTCAGAGCTACTTATTCTTGTATACACACAGAGAAATCCTATACATTTGTGAACAAAATTACATAGAGAGAGGAGGTGTATGTGTATATACCAGTTTATAGTGAATTTATATGGGTCACTTATAATTGAGTCCAGTCCTGTGACAACCTGTGCTTTCAGAGCTGAGCCAATTACTTCAGGTACCTTTAGGGAAATGGGGATTACAGCAACTTAGATTTAATCACAAAGATGAACTGCATGTGATGCAAATGCAAAGGAATGCTAGTCTTCTGGAACAGCTAGTGGACTGCTGCATACCTACAGGAGAAAATTTTACAGGTAGTCACAGTTAAAGTAAACAGGTACCCACCCATTCAGGAGTATGAAGGTTTTGCTGGTCTGGCACAGTTCCATAAGTGGGAATAATCACCTGGTTCAGTTCCAAGACTAAAATGAAATATAAAAAATGAAAATAATTTAGCATTTTTTGTGGTATAGATTTTTCATGGATTTATAGTTTTTATTTTTTTTTTTATTAATGCTTTGTGGAGAAGCCAGTTCATTGTACTTATTTAGTGTTCAGAAATGGAACAATTGTGTGTCATACTTCAGTTACAATCAGCAGGTAGCAAGAAAGTGAAACGCCAGGATGACAAGGTAATGCTAGGAGAACATTTTGGCAGTGATGCATCCCTACAGTGATGCAAACAGCATCCCTTTAGTAGTATTTTACTAGTTATTTAGTGTTTCAGAAACTCCATGGACATTTTAGCAGAAGTTTATTTTTCAATGAATAAGGGTACCAGAACTGGCTCCAGCTGTGCAAACAACCTAGCTCATGCTGGCTGTACTTGTCAGGCAAGAACAATAACAGTAGCAAAGAATTTTTCACAAGGCTTGGACTGGTTGTTATACAGGCGGTGATACTGTAACATTCACTCAGTAACACATAACCTAAAAACACACCTGCAACAACGGTGGCTATTGATGCCTCAGCTACTCCTCACCCGTTCCATCAATACCTGTTAAAAACCAACAACCTGGAAACTGAACTGGATTCCTGAAAATACAACATGAACTAAAAATGGCTTTGTCAAATATGCTACTGCATGAAGCCATTATCAAGCACACTGGGAAAGCTGGCTACCAAATCAAGCCCCGGATAACACACAAATTCATCCTAATAAAGCCACTGGAAATAAGGTACAGAAGCTTTACAATTGCTGCAAGGTATTTGCAAGGTTTTTTTTCTTCACAACTATTTTTGTCTCTTAAGGAGAAGTCAGATAACATCCTGAGGCTGAAGATAACATCAACTAGCTGAAGGGAGCAGGCTGCTTCCTGCCTATGCATGGCAGGCAGATGGATCCCATCCGTTATTTTTAGATCCTTAAAGCTGAGATGTATCTTAGTTAAGTCTGTCCTGTGCTGAGGAAGGGCCATGGATAACACAGGTACCTAAATGCCAGTGTTGTCTGGAAAGGATAGCCTCAACCAACCAAAAATGCTATAATACTAAAAGAAGATCTCCAAACTCTAAAATAATTAGCCTGTAGTACTTTTAGAATAGCTCAACACCCATTAGATACAAAGCCAGGAAAAACAAAACTGATATGCCTGGTTACGCTTTGGTTTAGCTTTTTTGCTTGTTTGGTTTTGGGTTTTTTTAACTTAAAACCTTCATTGCTAAATGGCCAAATTTTCATGGCATTTTAAGAAGCTTTTCTTTTTCACTGATGATGATGCTAATTTATAACAGCTGAAGATATGTCAAAACATTTAGAAAAGGAGCACAACAAGATTAGAAATCAACAGGACTCTCTCATGGCCTCCAAGCAAAAAATTCTTGTTTAAATACCCTTTCATAGAGTTTGGTTCCAGGTGGTGTTGTCAGTTTCCAGATCTCTGCTCTGGTGATAGCAAATGCTCCAGGGAGAAGACAAAAGCAAGTCAATGAATCTTTTCTGAAATATTAGAGCCATAGCCCAAATAATCAACCTTGAATAATCAAGGTCTGTGAGCTCTCAACAACATTAAAGTGTTCAGAAACATTCTCAAAATTAAAAAAAAAAAAGAGATGGAAAACATGGACTAGTGCAGCATTCAAACGTCACATGGCGAGACAATAACATTCAGACTCAGAAAACACAAGCACCTCTCAGCAGCTACTGAAAAATTGCTGAACATGTGCATCATTATGGTTTAATGAATTCAGCTTAGACTAGGGTGAGAAGGGAAATATATATTCTCAATGTCAGTGTAATGGGCATCTCCCTGCATTTCCTTCATTCCTTATTCTCTGTGTGGACACAAAGATATCCAGATACAAAGTATTTCTGAAAACCCACAGAAGAAGGAATGTTTCTGCCCACATGTAATGGGCAGAGGGAAGTAGAAATATAAGCATCTTGTTTTGAAATACAAACAGTTGCTCTGAAACTCAGTGTGCCGTTACACAAAACATGCAGGTGTGGACAGAGACATGAAGACTCTTAGCCACTGAACTGCAGAATCAGGAGTTAAAGTTGCCTTTTTGCTAAGTAACCACACCCCCATCATCTGTCCTGTCTAGAAAACCCTTCAGACAGAACTGAAGCGGGAAACATGGCATTCACAGGAACAATTCCAATTCTCCCAAATCCTGATGGATCTGGGGCTGGTCAGAAATATCCTTGTGAAATTTGTAAGTGAGTACAACTTGTCTCTGCATCAGGGTCTCTGTCCAGAATACCTTCCTCCTGATACGCTGAATGTCATGGAAACTTTAGAATTGGGTCCATATTTAATGTCTTAACACATTTGTACTTGAAATAATGCTCAAGAGAGTCCCTGGGTCATTGTCCCTGTGGAAGAACTTATGTAAAAGGGGCCTGCCACTCTCACGTCTCATGGGACAATAGCCAAGAACTTCTCTCAAGTTAATTACAGCTTAATGTTCATGTGAATCCAAAATTACAAAGCCTTGACACTGCTTGAACGGGTGCTCAGATAAGATTTGTTTTGACAGTGGTTTGCAAGGGCAGCTGTGCCAATTTGTGCACTTTTAATCTGGAAGAGACCATTCCAGTCTCTCAGAAATGCAAAAACAGTACTGCACAACTCAGCTTTGCCAGAAAAAGGTGCACCCACACAAAGTGCTTTTTATACCCCCAAAATCACTTAATTTATTTCTCCTACCTCCCCTCCAGCATTACGGTAAAGTCAGTTTTAAGTATGAAGAAAAAAACTCTGCAGCATAAAAGTTTGGTGCTAGACACTAAGAAAAACTTCCTAACAGCAAGAACAGTAGAAGAGAGTGCCTGGGAAGGCAGGTGAGGTCATGTGAGGTCTTTAACATCAGAGATTTTTTAGTACAGATTAATTAAATATCCTGGAACAACTTAGGCCATGTTGAATCTGGTGTCACCTTTACGAGGTTGGCCAAGAGGAGTTTTTGAGGCCATTCCCCACACCCAGCATCCTCTGACTGTAAGTCTGGTCCTAGGGTTCTCATAGCTATGTCTAAGGGTTGCTGTGCTGAGATTTTATATTAAAATAATAGTTCTTCTTACTCATATCTTCTTCAGAAATGTTATCACTCCTGTTAATATTTGAGTTACAGCACATCAAGGCTAGATGTTTGTGTTCTATCACCCAGCCAATTAAAGCAAAGGAAGTGCAAAGGAACAAAGAAATCTACTGGCTTTGTGCCAGCATACTCTGATTTTAATTGACAGATACATCAAATTCTGTCTTCAAGCAATCCAACAACATATGCTTTTGTCAGAACACTTAACCTAGTTTATTTCTATTGTGGTCATAGTTCTGAGTGTCTGCTCAGTGATACCAGTTGGTCTTTGATGTAGTCCTCTCAAAAGATGCTGTTGTAAAAATTTTAAGTACTGAAAATGTGCAAACTACATTACAAGAACATCTTGGTGGTATTTGAGCTGCTGCCTGGAGATTGTTCTTCAGTGTAGGACACTGAAGTGAGCTGTCAACACCTCACACCTTCCCTCAAATATGCCTATGCAGAAGTACTAAGTAGTCCATGTAAATCCCACACTACTTTTTTATAACCTTTGTGTATCCCATTCTTTTGGCCAGGCCATGGGAGATGAATCCTGCTGTTTATTCTACCAGTGATATTTTTAATGAATATTCTCTACAGCTTTGCTTTCTCACAGGTGAGCCAGAATTTCTGACCGGATTGAATAAAGACTCAGGAAATTCCTTGACAGCCAACACAAAATTTCCAGTCTTTTCATTAGTTAATTGGTATTGACAGTGGATGGTTTTGTAAGTTCAGTGATTTCTCACTGCATAATTCAAATTTAAAGGCTTTAATGAACATTTCTACTAGCAATCTCTACCTATTGCTACAGGTGAGAGGCTATGGCCTACTGACAGACATAGAAGCTGTTCTTTCTTTGTAAGAACTATAAAGAAGAACTAAATATAAAGAATTAAACCTTTCCTTGGGGTCTGAATAGCAAAATAATGGAAGCTGTCCAAAGCATATGCAGTAGGGATGAAAGGTTTTTTGCACCTGTAAATTAAAGAGGACTGAGAATGAAAAAAAAAAAAAAAATCAGTATTCAGAAGTAAAAAAAGATGCTTTCCAAAAAATTTAATGACAAGAAAACCACAAATGTTGGATAAGCTGATGTTTGAAAAGACCACTGTGCTTGGCTTTGTAACAAGGACATTGTCAAACAGGCCTGAAGATGCCAATCTTTTTGTGACAAAGAAATTCTTTGTATTTGCAATCATCGATTTCCTCTCAAATTAAAACAGTCAGAGATGAAAAATATCTGCAGCACTCTTTTGGCTTGTAAATAACTTGCATTAACTCAAATTAGTAGGCACCAAATTATGCTGAGAAATCAAGAAGATTTTAGAGCACTAAACTCATAGTACCTGGTACCTAACAAGCCAGTGAGACGTTGTTAAGGACAAGATCTCAGCCCTAGCACTGAACATGGTACCTCATGAGCAACCAAAAATGCAAAGCCAGGAAGTGACATCTGGAATCCCCAGGCTTTGCTATGGAGATCACATCACCTCACTTCCCACAGAGTTTTGTGAGAGTGCTGACAGAATTTTTAAACAGTCTAAGTCCCAGATCCTCTTCTTAGAGAGAGAAAGATAAGTTAATAGAACACTGCACTCTCCTCAGTACAAACCTGATGTGCTCCAGAACATCTGCTCAGCCCCTCCGTGGAACTTGCCTGCAGCATGGAGTTCCTGCTCCCCAGAGAGGGAAGTTTACAGTATGGTTACAGAAAGTGAGACGTTGCAAAGGCAGACCGCAGTGCTGGGCACAGCAACTGGTGTGCAGTGCCTGGCTGCATGCACAGAGCAGCAGTGGGAAGCAGGGCAGGAACGGGCAGCAGGCTGAAGGAGAACTGAGTAGATGACATTTCAAACCCCCATTCAAGCTTCCTCACAGCCCTGTCCTCATACAG